TTTACAGTTTCCTCCAGTCTCTTTCCAGCTGTGCTCAAAGCATCTGTGTGTTTAGCATCTGTATAGTAGCTTTGAAGCAGAAAAAGTGGTCATGGTCAAGAATTAAGATGTTTTCTCCTGGGCTCAAGCAAATTCACAGAAGAGAGATTATTTGGGGGGGGGGAGGGACCATTTGTTTTAAGTGTTTAATTAAACCCCTACATATTTCAGCATGATGGAGCTTAGGAATTTTATTTATTTTCTTTATTTTAAATGAATAACAGAATAACAGAGTTGGAAGGGACCTTGGAGATCTTCCAGTCCAACCCCCTGCTCAGGAAGAAAACTCTATATCATTTCAGTCAGACAAATGGTTATCCAATCTCTTCTTAAAAACTTCCAGTGTTGGAGCACCAATGGGATTCTAAAGATCCCTGAATTTTGCAGTTTTCTACACTTGGTGGCAGCATACATAGCTAAATTAAGCTGACTTCTATCATATGTAGAATACGAGGCAACTGATTTCTGGGGGAAAAAATGGAAAACTGAAGATGGCTCTGCTAAAAGCAGAGCTTACGATCATGGCAGAATGAAGAGCTGGTGAGTAGACCGGCTCTTCGTAATTCCAAAAAGAGGACTTGAGATCACTCACAAATGTTCCAGACAATTGGCCCTTGCAACTGTCCTAGAAGACTGAAGTCTCTAATGGACTTAAAGTTCTGGGAGATGATGGAGCAGTCATTTTGCTGAAACCATATTTGATGCCCAAAAAGGACATTGGGTCCTCATACTTCCTTTTCTAATCATTTCTGGAAATTGCTTGTTAACCTCTTTTTAACTTTTAAGAACCTTTGGATCTTCAGGTTTTACAACACTAGGTGAGTTTCCTTCAATCCTTAGCAAAAGAAGTTTTAAATACAGGATTTAGGATGAAGGATTTAAAAAGGGTTTTGAAATAAACAGCATAAGGGTGATCAAAATTTGGATTTTAGAAAGTTACAAATAGAGTAAGGGTCCAGATAAATTTGAAATAAAATTTCAAAATTAACTAAAAAAATTCATCATATGGGAAAATGCTTTTGTTCTGACTTCTTTTTTAAAAAACATAAGATTTAAAAAATTGGACACTAGAGGGAACTAGAAGGAACTAAAAATTACAATTAAAGGAGAAGAAATACTGAATAGGAATACAGAATGAAGCAAAGTATTTTAATATTGATATATTGAAGGATATGTTTGAACAACGCCCTCAAAAGTGTCTATTTTTATAGTTAGATGGTTAACAACATATTTATTTATTTTTATTTATTTATTTATGAGACTTATATACCGCTTTAAGTGCAAGCACTCTCTAAGCGGTGTACACCAGTAAGCAATGTATATATATATATATTTACATTGCCCCCAACAATCTGGGTCCTCATTTTACCTACCCCGGAAGGATGGAAGGCTGAGTCAACCTTGAGCCAGTGAGATTTGAACTGCTGACCTGCTGAACACAGTCAGCTAAAGTGGCCTGCAGTACTGCACTCTAACTGCTGTGCCACCTTGGCTCATATTATGGAAGGGGAACAAGTTTTACCTTACAAGATTGAAACTGATCTGAAAGTGGATTTAAAAATGACTGTAAAGTGTGGGAAAATCAGAAGTCCAGGCAGTTCAAATGAATATAAAGGTTTATTATGCTCTCTAGAACAGACATGTCAAACACAAAGCCCGGGGGCCAGATGCAGCCCGCAAAGTGGTTTCATGTGGCCTGTGAAGCCACATGAAACTGGAAACAGTGAGGGAAACGGCCCTCTCTGCCTTGGCCCTGGCCAAGGCCAGCCGGGAGCCATTGTACAATTTTGTGGTGGCCATCTATGCTGAAACGCATTCAGTATTAGCTCCATAAGGCCCCCCCCCCGCATGGCCTGAGAGGAACAGTGAGGTTCCTCCAGTGGACCATGCCTTGGCACTTGTCCCGGTCACACCCCCTTCTGCTAGAGACCCTCAGATCTGTCCCATTCCTGCCCAGGCCTCCACAGTCACCCTTGACGCTAACGATGTAGAGCTGGCCACACCCATCCAGTAGGCCACACCCACTCAATCCACGCCCACCCAGTAGGCTGCACTCACCCTGGCCACACCCACCCAGCCCCCTGAGGGCAATCGCAACACTGATGCGGCCCTCAATGAAATTGAGTTTGACACCCCTGCTGTAGAAGAATCTGAACTACTAATGGTCAAAGCAAATTGTCAGTAGATAAGAGTCAATGGAATTCAAAATGGCCTGAATTTAGATCTCCTGTGAACAGAAAGGGAATTGACCCCTCCCTTGGGCTCCACCTGGTCATCTCCTACAATGACAAGCTACAAGAATGACACGTTATCTGGGACATACAAAAGAAACCAGCTGATGTCTTGATAATTTAGAAAGATATACAAGTTATAAACCAAAAGAGTGATCTGAATAATATTCCTGTATTGGATTTACAAAAGAGACTTGTTAAAACTTTGAAGAAATTTGTGTGAAGGGATCAAGAAAAAAAAAATCAAGTTCCAGGACATTATTTGAAAGGACCAAAGATCAAGATTTGTAAAAGTAAAATGAAGGAATATAAAGTTTGGTCAAAGTTAAACTAGATATGTTATCTCTGATAACCTTTAATGGACTTTTGTTAATTGGGACTGAAATGACAAGCCTTTAAGGATTTCTTTACAGATAAAAATTGGATATGAGAACAAGACAACAGTTGTTATATTTTTAGAGGAGATGATATTTTGGTTTATTAGCAGTTGAAAAATTGTACTGAATAAACTGACTTGTAAAAATGTAGTTTTGCTTTTAGGGGTTTTGAAGAGTTAACATTTAGCCAATGAGCATAAAAAATGCAATAGAGAAAAGTCACGTTTATATTTAAATAACATTTCATGTGCTATTCCTATTGCCTTATTGAATGTTGGAGTGGTTTATCAGCAGTCCTCCAGACTACATTATAAATTATTCAGTTCTTTAATGTAGTTGGCATCATTAGCATGACTTTATTTAGTACCTTTTGGTTAGGAATACAGAAATCCTGGAGACTAAGCCTGAACGTTTTAGAAACAGTGGTTAGTTTTAAAAGTGGTGGTTAACAAAAACAAATAAGTCTTGTTTTTGCAATTTTATCCCTGAAAAGAAAGGCCTCTTCCCTTCTTCCAAATGTGCAGATATACAAACAAGCTCTTTATAGGTTCTCCCCTCCCCACAAAAAGACCATAGAAGGATGTGTCAAAGGTGCCTTTTTAAAAGGCAACTAGGCTATGTTTTTCTCTTGAGGAAGAAGAATATGTTTCGCTTTTCATCCAAGAAGCTTCATCAGTTCTGATAGCAATAGACTTAGACTTACATACCACTTCACAGTTCTTTACAGCCCTCTCTAAGCAGTTTACAGAGTCAGCATATTGCCCCCAACAATCTGGCTTCTCATTTTACCAACCTCAGAAGATGGAAGGCTGAGTCAACCTTGAGACAGTGAGAATCAAATTGCTGAACTGCTGGCAGTTAGCAGAATTAGCCTGCAATACTGCTTTCTAACCATTGCACCACCACCGCTCCTGATGAAGCTTTTTGGATGAGAAGCAAAACATCTTCTTCCTCAATGGAAAAACATAGTCCAGTTGCCTTTTGAAAAAGCATCTTTGAGATAACCATGACCTGGATGACTGAGAATCTCCATAGACACCATGGAGGGATAGTTAGTTAGTACATGGAGTCTACATCCTTGAAGAATCATAGCCATTGTCATCTGATATAGCCACATTCTCCTAATGGACCTTCAGTTAATTTAGGGAATGTTGATAAGGAAAGAACTGTAGCATGTATCTCCTTCATACTTCATCCTACTTGTTCATCCATCAAGAAAGCTTCAGGTCTTGTCATAAATCAAATGAGGAGCATAAATGCTCCTGAAATGCATTTGAAAGCCTTATTACAAGATGCAGAACCCCCAATTTCAAGATACTGTAGTTTCCCAAGTTTATTAGCTCTAAAATGTCTACCACTGTTAGGAAAAGTGGAATAATTCCACAAAGGAGAGGAAAGAAAACATACAAAGTGGTTGGGGCAGAGGGGGAGGGGGAGAGCCGTCCTGATTTGCAGCCAGGACATGAAGCAGAGATGGGAACATCTGTGGCTTCCACATCTTGCTGAAAAACAGCTCCATCATGGTTGAGTTCCTGCAGAGATAGTGGGGAAGTCAAACTGTTTGGATAGTCCACAGTAATAGCTGCTACACTGGGAGGTAAGCAAAAAAAAATCTGTGCTTAAAGCTTTCAGTGTCTGTGATTCACTTCAGTCGAACTAAAATGTCCTCATAAAGTACAAGCAAAATCTTAGAGCAATAACTTTTCTTCGCAGCCATTCAGAAATCTAGGGGACAAGAACAGTAGTAATCACAGATTTCTTGGCTTTGTCAGAAGCTTCAAACTGCTGCCATATGTAGCTACATGTAGGAGAACGTTGACTTTTAATTTAGACCCACAGATCACAATAAACAAATGTTGTTAGTACGGGTCCACAAACTGGGACGAAATATTTTGTGTAAAGATTGTTATTTTTCTTTATTTTAATTAGTATCCCACCTTTTAGTTATTTTATTTGTATCCCGCCTTTATTATTTTTTCAAATATTTCAAGGCATTGAACATATCCAACACATCTGCCTCCTCCTATTTTCCCCACAACAACGATAACACTGTGAGGTGAGTTGGGCTGAGGGAGAATGACTGGCCCAAAGTCACCCAGTTGGTTTTCATAGCTAAGGCAGAACTAGAACTCACAGTCTCCTGGTTTCTAGCCTGGTGCCTTAACCACTAGATCAAACTTGTTCCTGCGCTGAAGCTATAATATCTCCTTTGGTAAAGTTAATTGCATTTCTGATTTATTTACATTTCAGGTACATTATTTATCTTCCAGAGAAGCAATGCACAGCTAACTCAAACATTTTCTGGCTGCTAAAGTGTTTGAACAGTATTAATACATTTTTTTTTCTATTTTAGCAATTCATGAATTTCCTCAGGATTTATTCAAAAACAAAGAAAGACAGCAAGGAGCAATATTGCTTCATATTCTTGGTGTAAGTATTCCTGGGACATCTGAAGCATGTTCAAAATATACTCCTCGATTACTTATTTACATTGAGGGTGGTGGCTCATGTGGTTAGGACCCTGAGCTGGAGTTTACCAAGCCTGCGTTTGAGACCCGACAGCTCCTGCGTGGTGAGATGACCCTCCGGTCATTTGCTGCAGCTCCTTGATGGGGGCCTGAAAGGAGCCCCCAAGGATGACACCAACTAATCCTTTCAACTCAGAAGTGCCTTAAATGGTGCTTCCACTATGAACGGGACGGGGGGGGGGGGAATCTATTTATATCCACCTCTTCCAGAAAGCTTAGGGAATGTACATTTTTCTCAGGCAAAGATTAGACTTAACTAGGATGATATCAGATTCTTTAAGGGAAAAGCAAAATATCCTAAGGTTGTTGCAGGAATAATAGGATAGAAATAAAAAATGTTCTGAAGATTGGCAAATCATTTATGGGTCTATAATATTGGAGAAGGGGCTATTTCCAAAGAATATCTAGACCAGCGGTTCTCAACCTGTGGGTCGGGACCCCATTTGGGGTCGAACGACCATTTCACGGGGATCGCCAAACAACGCAGTCCACCATTTTTTCCCCTTTTCCTTAGCTGTGCTACTCCCTTTTATTCTGTTGGCTTTTGAAAGCCAATAGAATAGACTCTCTTGAATAGAGTCTAATTCTATTGGGTTTCAAAAGCCAATAGGAATTGGCCAGGCTGTCTCTGCCCTGCTGAGCCCACCAAAAGACCCATTCTGCAAACGGTGTTGCACCAGTTGAGTAGTCCTCGACTTACGACCGGTTGAGTAGTCCTTGACTTACAACCGGTTGGGGTCGCGGCATTAAAAAGGTTGAGAACCACTGATCTAGACTGAACATTTTCTAGTTTAAAGATAACAATAGGATGCAAAAGACTGTATGAGGATGCAAGTAGTTTCTTGCCCTATATTGTTTGTATCTACTTTATTTTGTAATACTTTAACAAATATATCTGCTGTGTGCATTTTCTACAGGCTCTGTATATGTTCTATGCCTTGGCTATTGTATGCGATGATTTCTTTGTCCCATCTTTAGAAAAAATTTGTGAGGTATGTAAAAATAACTTTCATCCTTCTAAATCAGCTTGTGATATGCTAAGAGAGACACCTTGCAGAGATGCAGGCTGACAAAATAAGCCCTCTGTTATCATATGGCCCTATGGATAGCTTGCTCCTATTTGTTCAATTCCATTCTGAAAGTTGTTTAAATCTCAGACAACTTAATCTCAATCTCAAACAAAGACTAAGAATCTCCATAGACATTTAAATCTCAAAGGAAATATTTGGCTTTGCTTCCCCTTCTTCATCAGATACAAATTTTTTAAGCTGGGCTACAGCTAGTGAAATGATGAATTCTTCTCTTTATTTTTCCCCAGAAACTACATCTGAGCGCAGATGTTGCAGGAGCCACATTCATGGCTGCTGGAAGTTCAACCCCCGAATTATTTGCATCAGTCATAGGTAAGTAAATGCATAAGATATGCAAATTCTTCCCATAGACCAGTGTTTCCCAAACTTGACAATTTTAAGGCATGTGGACTTCAACTCCCAGAATTCCACAGCCAGCGTTGCTGGCTGTGGAATTCTGGGAGTTGAAGTCCTCATGCCTTAAAATTGTCACGTTTGGGAAACACTGCCATAGACAGATCAGAAGAACAGCTACTGTATAGTTAATTTTCTGTGATTTTCAGAATAACTGTACCACGGGCTAAATTATTTTGGGTTTTGTTAGAAGTCTTCCACTTCCACTAAAGCATACCTGGGCATGGTTTATCAGGGTGTGGATGAGATCAGGAAAATAATTATATTTGACTTTATATCTGTCTAATTAACATCAAATGCAGTTAATGTAATTATGCCTATAAATAATTTCCCTGTCATGTTATAATTATAATAATAGACTTGTGTATCTCTCTGCTAAGCATGCATTTGCCTGGTATTGCAGATATCCTAACTTCCTAACAGTGAATAGAAACTTCCTAATAGCAAGGACAATTAACCAGTGGAAAAGCTTACCTTCAGAAGTTGTAGGTTGCTTCATGACTGGAGGTTTTTAAGAAAAGACTGGAAAACCACCTATCTGAAATGGAATAGGGTCTCCTGCTTGAGCAGTGGAATAGGACTAGAAGACCTCCAAGATTCCTTCCAGCTCTATTCTGATTGATTGATCCTTGCACAGCCCATCTAGTCTCCATAGTTCATATTCATTCATCTCCCCTGCTTGTCCTAGTGTCAGATCTCCAAAGAAATGTATTGTTTCTCTCCTTGTAGTATACTTGCTTTTGTAACCATTCTTTGGGCCTGCCATTCTGTTGGGAGGGAGGGATGCTTTGGGGATGCTTTGCACTATCTTGCCACTTTGCCCTTCCTCCAGGAGAAGGAATGTATCACCCTTATCTAGGAGAAGATTTGTGCTTGGAGCCAGAGAGAAATGAAAGCTAGCGAGAGAGAGAGAGAGAGAGAGAGAGACCTTGAAGAGCGCACCAACTGAGCCAGTTACCAAAACAATATGCCACCTGTGGATTGGCTGGGATTCAAACAAACCGTGGGACCCTGGAGGGAGGAGTAATGAATATTGCTTTTAATATACTGCTTGTGTGGGTTTTCCCTCAGACCTCGCCTTGTTTTCCTTGCTGTCACTAGCCCCTAATAAAAGTTCCTTTTGAGATAATGCCTGTTTCAAGAACTCTGCTTTCTTGGGAGGCCTATATGAGGTAGGTCCTTAAACCTAGAGTATAAATACCAATAAAGACCAAGCCATCTGAAAATGTTTTCTGCTGTTAGTGTAATCTTGATGGATTCATTATCTAACAGATATCAGTTACAAACACTATTCCAGTGCAAATACAAACTACATTCACGTGCAAGCATATGCTTTATACACAAAAATGCCTCTATTTCATCCTTGTCCTGGTGAAGCAGCTATGTTTAGAAACAGTTTAATCCTGGTGCTAATGGAATCAAAGAATAATTGGGGCAGAGGAAGGGGGAGGAAGTTGTGGGAAGGTGCAGTTTCATACACTTTCCATCTACCCAATCCAGAAGTCATGGGGATAGTATGATCCCAGGTGGTCATGTCCCCCTTCTCCCATGTTCAGTGAAATTTTAAAAAGCTTTCCTTCTAATTAACAGCTGGAAAGAGCACACCGCATATGCAGGCCTTGATAGATATGTGGGCTTCTTGGGAGAGCCTGTGAGATTGCCAGTCACTTCCATAATATACTAATGCTCCATCACTTTTTCAGATTAGAAGGTTATTTTCTCAGGGAATCATAGAGTTACGCCATTTAGACCATCAAATCCACTCTTTTGATTTCAGTTTGATTCTGGAATCCCCATTAAAGATTCTTGACAAATGTCTACCTTGGGGAGGAGATGTCACTGTTTTCTTATAGAATTGACTGCAATTATTGCCATGTTGGACATGAGACATGTAATACATTTCCTAATTCTTGTAATCCCATTGAAAGCTATAGCTCTCACTACTCTTTCTCTTTTTGTCTATTCAACCAGGTGTGTTTATCACTCATGGTGATGTAGGAGTTGGAACCATTGTTGGTTCTGCTGTTTTCAATATTCTCTGCATTATTGGTGTCTGTGGAATCTTTGCTGGGCAGGTTAGTAGAGTCTATTCTTTCATTCATTTTTCCATTATAGAAGAGACTACAGTATATAGAAAAGAAAACACCTGAATAGAAATATATAGAAAATACTTCTATATATATGATATTGTGAACATTCATAGATTCTATTTCAGGCTTAGTTCTTACACAAATGAATCAACTTGAAATAATTTTATAGTATATATAGATCAGGGGTGTCAAACTGCCGGCCCATGGGCTGGATGTGTCATCCGAAGCCATGCCCACCCCATTGCCAGCAATGGCAAAATTGTCCGATACGTTGCGCAATGTCACGTGACGTTGTGAGTTTGACATGTCTGATATAGATAACATGACATGTGTTAATATAAATGTTATTTTGAGAAAAATCTATTTTCCTTCATCCAACAGAATACAGCCAAACATCATGGTTGGCTGGAATCAACATCAAAGGGATTCACTTCTCACAATTCCACTGTTTTAACTACTGCACATTAAACAAATTTAAAACTGAAAAGTAGTAAGCTCAATGACTTTTAGAGAACTGTGACAATTGGTATTGTGTGTATACACATGCACTTTATTGAACAAAAGAAATAAACATAATGATGTTAACTTAACGATGATGAAAAGAAAGAAAGCATATTTATATAAAAGAAATCAGCTACAAAAATTTTTACCAGATGAGCCACTATGTTTTTACTGTTGGAAAATATTTTACTATGTTTTAGAAAATATTATACTTTTAAAATATCTATTTTTTAATGTCTAATGTAAACTGTGGAAATCCTTACAGTTTACATTGGCATTAGATTACAACAAATGAATAAGAAAAGTTCTTTCCTGTCTATTGAAAAACAATTAAGGACTTTTTCCTATTCAACCATAGTTCTGATCATAATCTCCCACCCTCCCATGCCAAACAGCAATTGAAGAAAGGAAGGAGAATGTTTTAAATATTCTCTGCAAGTGATTGTTCTGATCTTGAAGGACATTAACAGCCGTTAAGTCATTGGGATACAAATGAAATAAATAATTATGGTTCTAGCAAGCTTTTGATGTTTTAAAAACATCCATGGGAAAGGAAATGGCCTATTTTAACATCATGCATGTAGATTGTCCTTCTCTTTTCATAGAGATGAGAGAAACTTTCCTGACCAGGTGTCCTGCAGATGTGTTCAGCCTAAACCTTCAGAGTTCCCAATCAGCCTGAAATAATGCCTGCTTTTTTTCTCCTTCCTAACAAACAGCTGTTCAACACATGAAGTAGAGTCCAAATGAACTACTAGAACATTCTATATAGGTTTATGATTCTGACCCTCCTTGCCCTCCCTGAAAGGTCTGGGAATTCATGGCCACCCTACTAACCTTAATCATTGTGGCCTAACCCATGTGAGAGGCCATACTCCAGCTCTAGTTCTTGTCTTGGGTCAGATATAACATGATCTGGTGGTTAATGTCTGTCTTTTGTTATGGTCAGATCACTGTTTGCTTGTTATTTGGGGTCATCAATTTTGAGGAAGAACTGACTATGAACTTGTCAGTTCCTGATAATTTCTAGAGAACTTTAGGGAATTTCCAGAGAACTTGGTGGGCAGTTTTCCTGAGGCCTTAGTTGCCAAGTGGAATACAGGAATGATAGCAACCTTAGACAGCCTCTCCAATCCCACAGACTGCAGGGAATCTAGCTTGCCAATGATTCTATGGGAAATAAAGTGGCCAAAGAAACACCTAGAATAGTATTCCACTTGCTTGAAATAAGATCCCAAAAAAGTGTGGTCAGTCATGTGTAACAGCTGAGAACTGAGCCTATCCTATACTGATAAAAATGATCAAAGGCCATTACTGCATCCTCAGATTGTCATTTATCAACCCTCTTTAAAATGACCTGAATTATACTTCTTATGGAAGGATGAAAGAGCAACTGCAAAACAGCCTAAAGTTTAATCCCAGGAAAGTGGTTCTTTGGTTCGGGATAGGATTGTATTATCCCAGTCAAAACTGGCTAGTAATCTGTGGGCCCTTCTGGACTCTCACTCCTGCTGAAGGAACAGGTAGCAGCCTTGGCAGTGAGGCTTTCACACAAACGCCCAGTTCCCAGATGAGCCTTTTCATCTCCCCTCCCCTGAAATTAGACCAGGTTTTTCCTTTTTAATACTGTGTTCTGAAAACTCCTTAAGATCTGGCTATTCCTAAAAAGCTTGGGTTGGGAACTACAGTAGGAAAGGAGTCCCTTTTGGTATGGTGTGCTTATTCCTTTCGGACACAGCTTATTGCATTGTAATCTGTTACTTCATCTTTTTCTGTTTGTTATTTTGATGTACTGTTTTTAATCCTTCTACTAGAGAGTGTTTTGTAAGCCTCTCTGAGGCTCCGTGTATTAGAGTGCCACATAAACCCTAGTAAATAAGTAAACAAGCATGCAAGTAAATAAATAAATAAATATTCTTTGCTCTGCCCACAAGACATTTATGAGCATTGTAGATCTAAAGCACACTCATATTTAATCTCAAAGTTATGTTCCAAATAACTTTTTTTTTCTTCATGGAAAATTTAAATGTTTCCGGTAATAACAGGACAAAATCAGCCAAAGTTTTACTGCCTTTATTTGATAAGATAGATAAATAAATATCAATTCTATCTTTATTCTCACTGGAAGCTGGCAAGTTTCACTCAAGTGGTTGTTAAACAGAGAAATTGTTTTAACAAACGTTTGGTAACTAGCTATTTATTCTTTTATTTATATATTTGAATTTGTTACTTATCCTGTTGTTGACATTTGTATAGATTTATATGCATTTTAATTGTGGTTGACTACTACCCTATCTAGTCTTTGTACTTTTTTAAAAAAAATAATACACAGAATACAGAAATAGAGTACAACAATGATTAAAAACTGTCTTGAATGCATTTGGGTCAATATAAAAGGGGGAAAAAATGACATTGCCATAGGTGTATACTACAGACCACCCAACCAACATAGATGAACTTTTTGCTAGTCAGCTAACTAAGTTATGTAGGAAGCACATCACAATAGTAATGGGGGACTTTAACTACCCTGACATCAACTGAGAGACAAATTCTGCACCAAATGGAAGATCCATCAGATTCCTGGCAAACCTAGCAGACAACTTTGCCTCCCAAAAAGTAGAAAAGGGAATGAGGGGATTAGCCATTTTGGATCTAATTCTCACTAACAGAGATGAAATGATAAAAGGTGTTGAAGCCATAGGAACCCTGGGAGGAAGTGATCTTATTAGAATTCAACATTATGGAAGCACAAGCAATAGAACACAGTCAAACTAGAGTCTTGGATTTCAAGAGAGCTAATTTCAATAAATTTAGGTTTGGGAAGGATTCCATGGATGAGAATCCTCAAGGGGAAAACAACTCAAGAAGCTTGGGAAATTTTGAAAAATGAGATAATAAAAGCCCAGTCTAGCACAATACCAACAAAGAGGAAAAATAACAGCTCTCAAAAGAAACCAGCATGGCTGCATAAAGAACTCTCTGACAAATTGAAAGATAAAAAGGACAAGTATACAAAGTGGTAAGAGGGGCACATAACTAAATCAAAATATCAGCAAATAGCCCGAGCCTGCAGAGATGAAGTGAGGAAAGCCAAGGCTCAAAATGAACTAAGACTTGCGACCAAAGTCAAAAATAACAAAAAAAGCTTCTTTCAATATGTAAAAAACAAGAAAAAAGTGAAGGAAATGATTGGTCTATTAGTGGGTGAAAGTGGCAAGGAGGTGACAAACAACAGGGAGAAAGCAGAACTATTCAACTCATTTTTTGCATCTGTCTTTACACAAAGGGAAAAAACAGACCAACCTATCAAAAATATTGCCATAAAAAAACAGAATAGAAACACAAGTTAAGGTAGGAAAGAAAATGGTAAGTGAGCACCTGTCCAGCCTAGTTCAAATCGCCAGGACCAGATGGATTACACCCCAAGGTTCTCAAGGAACTGGCAGATGTGATCTCAGAACCACTGAACTATATTTTTCAAAGATCCTGGAGCACAGGGGAACTACCCGAGGACTGGAAAAGAGCTGATGTAGTTCGCATCTTCAAAAAAGGAAAAAAATGAACCCAGGAAATTACAGACCTATCAGCCTGACCTCAATACCTGGGAAGATCCTGGAAAAGATAATCAAACAACGAATCAGCGAACACCTAGAGGCAAACAAAATCATTACTAAATGGGTTTGTCAAAAACAGATCATGCCAGACAAATCTTATTGCATTCTTTGACCAAGTGACAAAATTAGTGGATCAGAGGAATTCTGTGGACATAATTTATTTGGACTTCAGTAAGGCATTTGATAAAGTAGATTACAACCTACTACTTGACAAGATAGAAAAATGTGGGGTAGACAGCATCACCACCAGATGGATCCATAGCTGGCTGACCGGCCATACTCAGCATGTGGTCCTCAATGGAACCGCATCTACATGGAGGGAAGTGTGTAGTGGGGTGCCCCAGGGCTCTGTTCTGGGCCCAGTGCTCTTCAAACATCTTCATCAACAATTTGGACGAGGGGATAGATGGGGAACTCATCAAATTTGCAGATGACACCAAGCTGGCAGGAATAGCCAACACTCCAGAAGACAGGTTTAAGATATAGAAGGATCTGGACAGACTTGAACACTGGGCACTAACTAACAAAATGAAATTCAATGGTGAAAAAAAAGCAAGGTTCTACATTTAGGCAAGAAAAAACAAATGCACAGGTATAGTATCGGGAATACCTTGCTCAATAGTAGTAACTGTGAGAGGGACCTCAGAGTTCTAGTGGAGAATCACCTAAATATGAGCCAGCAGTGTGCTGCAGCTACCAAAAAGGCCAACACAACGCTAGGCTGCATTAACAGAGGGATAGAATCAAGATCACGTGAAGTATTAATACCACTCTACAATGCCTTGGTAAGGCCACACTTGGAATACTGCATCCAGTCTTGGTCACCACAATGTAAAAAAGATGTTGAGACTCTAGAAAGAGTACAGAGAAGAGCAACAAAGATGATTAGGGGACTGGAGGCTAAAACATATAAGGAACAGCTGCTGGAACTGGGTATGTCTAGTTGTTGTTGTTGTTGTTGTTATTATTATTATTATTATTATTATTAATTATTCTTACTAGAATTTATTAAAGTGCTTCCCTTTAGCAGGATTGTGTCTGCTTCATTTATTACTCTACTTCCATATGAAAAATCACTACAATCATTGATTTTTCTTAATTACTGTTTCTAAATGATATGTAAAGTGGTTTACTGCATTGTTAGTTCTTTCAAGCTTTGTTCTTTCAGGCAATGGACTTTTAAATGGAAGACTTTAAGTAAAGTTGTTTCTGTTTGCTCACTGTGATCCCATTGAAAATTGAGTAACTGCTACCTAAGTAACAATTAAGTGTATTTTTTAAGCAACATGACACATAATTATGCAATTCCTCTGATTCACTGGAATGAAAATCTTGTTAGGAACTTTTCTTACATCAGTTTGAAGCAATTCCTTTCCTTTTTAAAAGGTCTAAATTTGCTGTTTTCTGTATCTGTGTGACTGTATTCTTTGTAATGGGAAAAGGTTTTGAATGATCACTATTTTCTGATGTCTTTGGAATATTGCTTGTTCTGTAAATACGTTTTTCTCTGGTGGAGCCTTTAAATAGATAGTAATCCTAAAGGAATCTCTTCTGAAAGTTAAGGTTTGTTATATAAGTTTAGCTATTTATTTGATCCTTCACCCCAGAAGTTATTTGGAAATATGTTTTGCATGTTATTCTAAACTATGATTAACTGGGGTTTATTGAGCCTGTCACAGATGACTGGCTTTGCATATTATGCTAAACCATAAGCAATCATTATGGCTCACACATTGTGTTAAGTGAATTCAGGCAGAAATCATTACATTAAGCCAAGCAATCAGTAATCATTACAGTAAATCAAGATAGTCCAAACAGTATTTGTGATATAATATTCTTGTTCCTGTTGCAATCTCCTTTCTATTACATCTTCATTAGAGTATTAACCAATTATAAGGCATCTGCCTGCCAAGTAAATAATATGCCACTCCTTTGAACTGCATTCTTTCACTCTATTGCTCAAATAGTATAATAATGTAACACAGTATTTGATTTCCAGCCCCCATCCTAAGAAGATAAAACAGAATGTATGTGTGACTGTTCCCAGGTTGTAGGAAGTACAAATATTGTGTAAACTCTAAAAGCTGTCCTAATATTTTGGGAATAGTATGAACAAAGACAGGTTTTGTGTCACTTTAAAGTCTAACAAATTTATTGTGTGATACTTTGGGATAGTGTATAGTCCACTTAATCAGATGCTCGAAAGGTTATCTGAGTATCAAGGTAGGAAAACATCCTGTTAATTGTTATTGTAATTAAATGTTTATTAATTGTTGGATGATAATACAGAGCATCAGGGTTTAATACCCATTCCCACACATAAGCATAACTATCTCCATATATTCATAACTTAGAATGGCATGAACTTTCTATTTACATATATGGGCTACAAACCACAAGTCCTACACTACAACAAATATCTCATTCTTTAAGATGCCATAAAAATGTTTTGTTTTTCTAACATAGACTGACACACTAATTTCTCAATGAGTAGAGTATTTACATTTTCATTCTCTCTGATTGATTAACTTATTTATTTGATGTAGGCTGCCTGCTTGTCAAACTTCTCTGGTTGATTTACAAAGAATATTAATAAAAAAAAACCATTTAAAGAAATTGAATGAAATTCTAAAACTGAAGCACATCCATTGCACTGAGGGCAAATAAACACAAAATACGCTTTATTATATAGGTTCATCTTGCATCCTGCCCAATGCATGAGGACAGAAACAGATTTTCAAGGTCCATCCTAAAGGGAGGATGCTGTTCTAATGGGAAGCCATGGTGACAAATAAGACACACTTCCTACATCCCATGAAATAGCCCTGTTTTATTGATAGGATTCAGAGTGTGCCAGCCCTGTCAGGAAGTTTCATATGACTTCACTGCATGATATATATATATATATTTGATAATGTAAAACTGTAGAAATTAAGATAGTACAAGATTGTGTAGAAAAACACAGGTTCAGAATTTGTTTTTAAAGACATAAATGTTCTTTCTTAAATGGATACCTTTTAATGGATAGCAATGCTAACTAGTAAGTGATAAGATTGTAATGGGATATGAATGCATGTACCTTATTTTATCAGTTTGCTCCCAGGTTTCAAAATGTGGCAAAATCTAACATCCAAGCATTGCTGATATAGAGGTTGCTATATGGAATAATTGTATCCTTTTTCTAGGTGGTCCATCTCACTTGGTGGTCTGTGTGCAGGGATTCTGTCTACTACACTGTGTCTGTAGTAGTGCTTATTGTGGTAAGTTTTGTCAGTTTTCTTCACCATATTCTTGAACAAAGCTGAGCTTGAGATTTTGCTTCTCAATAGACCTCCTTATGGAGGATTTCCCCAATAAAATATCCCACACAAAAGATTTTGGGAGCCACCCAGAGTTGGCTAGAGGTTGGTTAAACATTTTAAGTAAATAAATAGATAAATAAGATATTAGATGTGTGTGCTTCAGTCTTGATACCTTTTACAACAGGTGAGAAGGCAACTTCCCAGAATGACCATGCTAGCTGAGAATTAAGAGATGCATCCAAACACATAACCATCTTCTTATTGTTTGCAGCTGCTCTTGGTTTTATGTTTTTAAATATGTTTGTTATTTTAATGTTGTAACTGTCCAGGATAACTTACTTGGTAAGTGGTGGGATTCAGCTGATTTGCACCATTTCAGCAGAACCGGTAGCTAATTTTTTGTTGCCCAGGCCCAGAATGGACTTCCAGAAGTGGCATCCACCCAGAGAACTGGTTGTTGACATATTTGAATCCCACCACTGGATGGATGCCTATATAAATCTCTTAAATAAAGAAATAAATCTGGCCATTAGCAAATGTAGCAGGAGCAGCATATCTTCTGCATTCTTTCATGTAGCTTATCAAGGGCAACTCGAAATTAAGATGAATTTCTGCAAAAGCAGCTCTGGCAAATTCCCATTCAGCCTGAGGTCCTGATGGTCTCGTTTGGCAGTGATATTAGAAAAGACTTTGCTATCATTTCCTAAACTGCAATATAATCCTGTGTTAGGAAATTACTAGGAAATTTAAATGTCTGCTTAATCTTGTCACCATGTGACCTGTGAAAGACATCGGCCATGAACTTTGAGAAATGTCCAGGAATGCTAAAGGTTGCTTTTAGCTTTATGAACTATTGCTTTTAATTATTCTAGGGCTGGCTGGCCTTGTTCATGATAAAAATCCATTAATTCTCCCCAAATGAGTCATCTACTTGCCTCTGAAGCTTCCAGATCTTGACAACTGGTAGTCAAATGTGATGCAGAAATAACACCTTCCCTGTGGTCCAAATTAAACCATTTACCTTTTTTTTCTTAGTACATATTGTACTGAATTTTGGATCAGTGAGCCAATGAGGTATTTTTCCTGTAAAGTTAGAAATGCAAGAACGACATACTGCTTTTTATTTTAAGGAAATCTTCTATTCACAGGAAGATCCAGTGCTTCATGCATCTTCAGTGCTTTCTAATTCACAGCCTCTTAACCTGGACTTTGCAGCTCTGTCCACCATATAATGTAATCACTGTGTACAACAAACTTCCCAACTTGACTTCCAATTCTTCTCACTTGGAAGTCTTGGAGTAGTAATCTTAATATATCAGGAAGTCCCCAGATTTGCCAAACTTGCCCTACCTCAAAAATGCTACACATACATCATCAAGCACCAGTGTTGATATGGCACCGAAGGTGGCCTTCGTTACTGAAAAAATGATTCAGGACCAAAAATCAGCAGTAACTGAGAATAAAAGTCCTAGAATGATTCTGCCTGGAGACTATTCTATACTCTATATATGTATGCATGCCACTGTGCTCTATAATGTAGCCAAATTTCTTTTCACTTGAATTACATAATTATTCAATTTTCCTTTCTTTTTCATTCTTTTTTTAGTTTATATATGATGAGAAAATTGTATGGTAAGTGGTTCTTTTCATTTCTTACATTGTTTGATTAAGAGAAGTAAACATGGACATGCAGAGCAAATCTACTCTTGGGGTTGGATGGGATTATTTTTTGTAAAACCTCCAGCACATCCTCCAACTTGGATTCTTTCTGTAATCAGGATAGAAAAATGGGGAGCTATTCTTTTCTTTCTATTACAGGTGGAGACAGGTGGTTGTGGACCAGTTTTATTGATGTGTTAGTAAAGCAAGAGGCTTTTGGATCCTGAAGTCTCATAGCTATTTCTAATGGTTTCCTGGCACACTTTGCTTTGCTCCCCTCATCAGTGATCGGAAAACTATCAGCAGAGTTTTCAAGGAATCTAGAGTCCTTCTAAAATGTGGGGGCTTTTATGTTGTTAGCAAATCTTTATTTCAATTGATTTATTTTTGGGGAGAGTTTTGGGGACTCTCAGCCAATTTCCCAGCTAAGGAAAGATAGCTGTCTCTTAAGTTTGTTTAGGTGATGTGGTGTAAGAGCTTGTTCTGCCTTGGCAATATTTTTGATTAGAAATAGTTGTGGGGGGAGCTGGGGAGGTGGAAGGTAGCAACTGATTGGTTTTAAGAACACTATGAAGCATTGAGAAAAAAACAAATTGAAACTGGCTGCAGGAAGGAGTGAGTAATAAGAGGTACAAAGAACAGGCAGACATAACAACTTCTTTGTTTTAATATATAAAGTGCTAGAAGTGGGAAATAGTGTATATGATATATTCCACAGAAAATATGTATCACTACCACAAATGGCACTAGCTATACTACTAATTTCCTTCCTTTTATTTATTTGAGGTGGGAAAGCCTTATACTCATCATTATGTATTTCTTCTATATACTTATCATGAAGTAAGTACTCTTAACTTCTTCTCTGTGCTTTAAATATGTGTGGCTAAATAGGTGTATGAGCTTGCAATGTACTTTGCTAGATTACTAAGAATAGCTCACTTTCCTTGCTTTATTGATGTTAATTTCCCCAACTAGTAGTGGATTTTCTACTTAAATGTATATTGTCTGCAATAACTTGAGTCTCATTCTTATGGGACCTACATTTGGGCTACTGAAATTGAAGATAAACAAGAACATTTGGTGTTTATGATAGCCTTTCACTGTCTAGTGCCCTCCAGTATGTTGGAAGCCACTTCCATTATCACTAGCGAGCACAGCCCTTGACAGTAGAGGTTGAGGTAATGGGTATTAGTCCAATGTTGCATTATAAGAGCAAAGAATATGGAATGCATCCAAGAGAAGTAGTTTTCCAAGGAAACTAAGGAAGCAGCTGTATATCAGAAATATTCTGCTTATTTCTTCATATTCAAAATAGCCCATTTGAAAGAGCATTGTAAGCAGCCAAGGTAAGTAATTGGGGGGAAGGGAATTGCACAAAGAAAGCTCTAATTCAAAATGAAGTATGCTTGCATTTATGGATTTGGCTTTGGAGAATTTGAATTAGTTTTTATATTGGCTATTAATCAGCTACCCTTGCAAGAAATAAAGGCTTTTCTTTTATATTTCTTTTTGCAATGCTAGAGAAATAATAATCAACATAATTATTTTACAGCAGTGTCATAAATCATTGTTTCCAAATTAGAAAACATTTCAGAGGGGAGCAAGAATAGTTCAAAAGCCTGGTGTGCTGTGATACACAGCCACTGGATCATGCAATCAGAGTTAGAGGTAATGCTGTAAAGTTATGTTGGGTTCACGGATAATTCTCCTGTTCTGAAGGACTCATGAATCTGGCCTCTCTCTTCCGCACATCCCTCAGCAATATGGATTTTGAAAACACAGTACAAGTAGTCTTTGACTTATGACCACAATTGAGATCAGAACTTTCATTGCTAAGCAAGGCAATTCTTAAGCGAGTCAAGCCCTATTTTGTGACCTTTTTCATCATGGTCATTAAATCACCACATTACATGAATCACACAGTCATTAAGCCAATCCAGCTTCCATCATTGATGTTGCTTATCGAGAACATGTTGCAGCATTTCAGTTACTGTATATAACATAGATATGACAGCCCCATTGCCTGGCTCATAGATCTCTGTAATATTCTCATTTCTTGTATGATCCAAATGAAAATGTAAGCACATTTGCTTTTAGTGGGAGAGAAATAAATATCACTTTAATAGGAATTGAAACTAGTGGGATCTAACAGTGCTTAATTTTGGCCAGATCATGAGGGGCCTAATTATAATGTAATCATCAGCTAGTTATTCTCAAATTAGACGACACTTGATAAACTGATGCATCACAATCCAACTTGCTCCCAGTGGTTGTGAGCCCGCAAAACAGAAGAGAGCCAAAGTTATGTTCTTTGAAACCTTAACATTTTTCTCTTTATACTTCTAGATTCAATATGAAGATGCAGAACTTCTTTACTATCAAAAGTATGAATGTTGGTAATGGCAACACTGTGAACAGTGAACTGGAAGATGGTAATAAATATTATGACATTAGCCGTGATGATCCATCCATACCATTGCTATGGAAAGGTAAGGCTAAGCAGACATGAGCTGAGCAGAGGATCTGGGAAACAATGCTATTCACTATTAGTGATTCAGACTCTGATGGCAGATTTCCACCATCTTAAAATAAATGTATTTATATTTAATAAATGGGCTGGACAAACCCAAGCAATCCAGGGTCACTCATCCTTCTCTGTAATACTCTGTAATTACATATTCTGGGCCGTGTATTTAATTAATACAGAGCATTAATAAGGCCTATCTTGTCTGTGTGGTACTGTTCTTGAGATGAGTCTTCAGGTCAGATTATTCAAAATAATCCTTTAGCAATGCTCAGGATTTTGCAGCAGATTCTAAGAAGGTGAGAGTTTTCAGATAATTTGAAAAGAAACATTTCTTTCAGTATTACAGTTAATGTTAGAATGAGGATCTTCAGGATCATCATAATCATGCTGGGTGAAAAAATAGAATTGGTAATTAGCATCCCGTTATTTCCAAAGGAGAGGACTTCTGAATGAAACTGCCACCTCAAAATATAGCTGAGAAACCTGGATGTAGGATATATATATAAGTGTCATGAGATTTGCAAGCAGTAAAAGTACTAAAAAAAAAGCTTTGTTGCTTTCCCTGCATGGGGAAATATTCTAGCCACTGAATAACAAATGCTTGTTATCCATAGAGTGCATTACACTATCTTGAAAAGGCATTGCATACCTATAGCTAAAATGAAGGTTTTTATGTTCATGAAGAATATACAGAGATCTCGTATCTTGTGCCATTCAAGAGCTGAGAGATGGCCTTATTTCTGTTAAGTGAAATACGCCATGGATTAATAAACTGCAGTGCTGAAATCTGTTCTATAGCTTTTTAGACTGGTGTTTTACTTTGTCAAATCGACCATCAGTCTAAATCTAGCTCTGAGGGTTGCTTCCAGCAAAGATGCTTAGGATATCTGTTAATATCTCACTGGAGACAGCAAAGCTTGGATCTCATCCTAACCTTGTCCATTGTCTGAGTTCAGAGGCTGATTATTGCCTCCAAAAAGGCACTTGCTCTCTCCCAACTACATTCCACTTTCTGATAGCAGGAATTCTATTACTTGAGGGTACAGATAAAAGGAAGGTTTTCAGACTGCTATCTTAAAGCTTGTAAGTTTATTGCTTTCAAGAGGTACAAGGAACAAACCATTTTTTAAAAAAGCTTCTGGTACAAGGTTCTTATATACACAAAGCTCTTCAGCGAGTGGAAAATCCAATTTCAGACAAGTCTTCTATGCAAGAGAGAAGGCTTGTATTTTTGCAATTAAGGTTTGTGCTTTTAGAATAACAGCACAGTGCCTCTGTTTTTATTGTGAAAATTGTTTATATGCTCTAACTCAGTCCATAGAAACTCACAGTGATGAAATACATAGGCAGACTTGTATTGAACCAAGATGCAATGCCTCAAGTATGTGTCCACATACCAGAGGACTGGCTTCTTGGGTTGTGGTTGTTGTTTTGGGAGCAAAAACAAAAAGTGGTACCTTAACCTAACAAACAACAAATATTTCAACAAATATTTCATTACTTTTTTTTTCATGACCCCAAGTTTTTTCAGTTGCAGTTCATTCCAAAAAAGATCAGAATGTCAGAAGAAAAAGGGAAACTGGAGAGGGCATTTTAGCAGGCAGCTCTAGATAGATGGAAATGAGAAAAGCTCAGCTGTTGAAACTATTTTCTGCACAGTGATGAAATATTGGAGCTCTACAGGAGGCTGAAGTCCATTAAGGTTTTTATCAGTAAACCACTTTGCAATATGGAAGCTCTCTGTGAGAAGTTTTCATTTAAGATTTAGCACACAGCTGAGTATACCTCTTGGCTCCTATGCCATTAATTATTCTCTACTGAGCCATATCTGTAAGATGTTTATCCACTGTATTTTGTAGTATTTACTCCTACAATAATTCTTACATGCCGCACATTCTGTACTAGATGTATCTAACTTAATGCCCAGATCTAGTGCACTCCAGATCTGTTAGACTTCAACTAATTTGAGTCCCATAATTCTGGATTCATGCTGACTTGGAATTATGGAATTTAAAGGGCATCAAATTAAAGTGGGTTTAAATGCTCAAAATGCTTTGTGTTAGCTTATAAATGCCTACAAGTCATCTATAGAGATGAATATTTTTGTTCCCTCTTGCCTCCTCCCACTTAACAAAAATTAGGGCTGTGGTTAAAGGATAGGAGAATCTCCAACAAGTTTCTAGCCAAATTCACACTCAGAATTCCTAACTCATTTTTTATGATTCAACAAATTTACTGTGGATCAGTAATACAAAAACTAAATGCAGTGCAAATTGGCTCTCACCTTATAGATTTGCTGATGACCAATGTGATTCTGTTTTGTGTTCTGAATATAGATTATAGAATTATTTAAGCTTTCTTTATCTTCCAGTATCTATTGGTTAGCACATGTTTCCTTCTTGAAAGACAGTCTTCCTGTTATTGTTCAGTCATTCAGACATTTCCTACTCTTCATGATCAGGTGGACATCATTAAGCTGGGATTGTCTGTCAGTAACTGCTTCCTTGAATCATGCTTCTGTTATCAGTAATAGTTTCTACTTTATCTTCTGTTGGGCTCATTTTCAATTACCTTCCATTTTTCCAGAATCAAGGTCTATTCCAATTATTATTGCCTTTGCCTTGCAGCTCCAAAATATTTAAGTTTTAGTTTAATTATTAATGCTTCCAGTGAGGAGTCAAATTCCATATCATCTAGTTACAAATTACTTCTTCTTAGAGTCCAGGGGTTCTCAGCTATTGTTTTCACATCATAGTTCAAAAACATCTATTTTCTTCATTTAGCTTTTTTGATATTCCAGGTTTCATGGCAGTATGTTGCAACTGGGAAATGGTGGCTTTGAATTATACAGCTTTGTTGTTAGAGTAGTATCTCAGTATTTTAATATGTTTCTCTAACTGTAACAGTCTTTCTTTAAAGTAGCAAACAACTCCTTATTTCATGGTTTCTACTAGTATCCCTATGAATTTTTGGATCTAGAAAAGTAAATTATTACAACTTCTTTTTTTATACTAGGTTGACATTGTACAATGACTTACTCTTAGGGACTTTTGTAATATTGAGAAGACCAGCTTTTTACACTCTTTTCTATCTTCAGTAAGGTGAAGTCTTGTTTGGTTTTCCTTATTTCCAGTCATCAAAGTGGTATCATCAGCATATTCAAATTGTTGATGTTTCTCCAGCAATTTTAATGTTTTATCTTATAAATGCCTACAACAAGTTCATATATAGAGATTAATATTCTTGTTGTCTCTTGCCTCCCCCCACTTAATAAATGTTTGTCTTCTAATCCAGCATTTTTCTCAAGCAATATTCTGCAGATAAGTTAAATTAATAAAATATAGTCCTCTTCCAATTTTCAATCAGTAGGTTGATGAATTTGTCCAGTACACCCATGTTTTATTCACAGTGATTTATCCACTGTCAGATTATATACAGTCAAAAGCCATTATATAATTGTTAAAGCAAACAATATGTGTAGTTTTGGAATGTTTGCATAATTGTAATACCTGTTTCTACATATAAATGGGTAGATGTCATTTCCAACCACAGAGCATCCTTTAATGGCAGGTGTTATTGTTAACCAGACCAAAAGAGGCTGGCCAAAAAAGCTTTTGATTCCTCCATATATTAATCTTTTCCTGTACGTATGTCAACTTGTTTACAAATCATAGTATCAATGCCATCATTCCAAAGGCACTCTTTTAAGTGTGAGCTGGGGAAATGGGAAGGTGAAAACTTTAGTCTGTTTCCTACTGCACTAGCAATTATGTAATTATGGCTTATATAGTGGATTGTCTGCCCACAACAATTCACAGATTTTTTCATCCTCAGGTTGCTAAAGTCCATTTTTTTTCATACTCATTACCCTGCAAGTGTAAATTAGTTAATTGGTTATACACAATCAAAACTGAATGTGATCTTCTGGAATCTTCCCTGCTTAGTTGTCCAGCCCAACCCTGAACCTCATTGCAACAGCAGGAACCTGCCATTAGAACTCAGCCATGGTGAATGTGTGCAAAACATTGTTCTAATTATAATGCGTAGCCCAAAATAAAATAATAATTTTAAGCTTTTTCCTTGATTACCTTTTCTGTCTTTTCTTTTGAAATCACAGACCTGCAGTTGTCATGTGTGAGGTTTTTCTGGAGAATCATCTTTAATTGTGTGGCTTGAATGAATGTTTTCCTCGGACTTTCATGCCTTCAAATTGAATATTATGTACTAATGGTTGGTTGGTTTTAATAAACTAATTCTTTTCTTCTTAACATAACTGATTGTGTGCAGTACTGCTGCTGAGTAACCATGGCAATAGAGAATAACATTGCCCTTTAGTTGGCACACAACTGCCCATACACTTCTCACACTAGTTAATATTTTATTTTATTTTATTGCAATGTGTATTCTAACACATATGTCTCGTATCTGCTCAGCCTTATTGTGCTTGCTGTTTCTAGCTGGTAGCATTTGTTGTTTGATTATGTGCATTGATTGTTGCTTCCTTTTACTAATACTCACAACTGCATGTTATATCTTTTGGTCTAGAACAGAAGTTAGTACAGTATAAAGTAATTTTCTGGTTAACAGTAAGGAAATAGTTCTTATTGCCTTCTTTGTAGGGTTTTTTTTTTTCCTGGTATCTCCTTCCAAATACTAATCAGATCTGACCGTACTTATCTTTAAGTAGATGGTCATAATTAGGCAAATGCTGTCTTCTAGTTACATTGTCACAAATTTATTAAAGCTAACTTTTGTTAAACTAGTTTCACATGTTCTAAGAACAGACAGTTTTCTTCTAAATATAACCTGAAAGTTTAATGAATCTGCTTATTTGATTATCAGGAAGAAACATTACATTTTAACAAATTTAAGGGAATTGTGTAGTGGCTATGTAGCCAGCATAGAGTAAGCAGATAGCCATAATATATATAGAGAGATATATAATCAATGTAATAATACTACACTTGAAACATAAAGCAAGAAGATTCATGAGTGAGGATCAGAATCTAAGAGGAAAAGAGTTTATTTCCTCATAAAGCCAGTATAAAATAAATGGACAAATATAGCAAAATGTCCTATTTGACACAGATCCTATTTTGGCTACAGATGAGAAATTGAATGGTTTATTAGTTCTGAAGCATTGGATTACATACCCTCTGAGTTACTCAAAAGGGGCATTATAAACAAATGTGGGCAAAAGTATAAAAAATTAGAATTATTAATTGGCATTGTGGTCACTAGTGAAAGGAATACAAGAGCATGGACGCAATTCTGTGGTGATGGTCGATGAGATTATTTGTTCCAGTCCTCCGAAATACCGTTTCCCTGAAGCTGGCTTGCGAATAATGATTACCAATAAATTTGGGCCAAGAACCAGACTACGGATGGCAAGCAGGTTAATTATTAATGAGGTGAGTCCACAGTGGAGAAAATAATTAAAATGTTGTCTAGCTTACTCAATTACTTTTTATGAGCCCTATACATTTAATTCTTACTATGTACTGTTCTTAAAGTAATTACTTCATAGTGTAAGCTCTCAAAAATTAATATGTATTTATATTTCAATTTGCAAATTGAAATATTTTATGAATTATACATAGATAATATTTATCATTGAATTATATTACAATTGAAATTAAAATTAAATTCAAGTAAATAAAATTAACATGTGCATTTCAATAAAATTAATTGAAAATTTCAGTTTATAAATTGAAGCCATTAGTAAACTGAAGCTATTAAAAAAAAGAAATAAATCCTTATGTTGATTGATGGGAAAATATTTTTCAAAGATAATGACTTACCAAAAGGACATACTACTGAAATAGATAGGAGTTCAGTTAGTCGTGATTTACAAGCCTAGTTAATTTCAGTAAGTTTCGCTCTCTTCACACAATGCACATTTAATATATGAATGTCTCTGCCTGAGAATATGGTGATGGCCATCAACTTAAAATGCTTTAAAATAAAAATATGCAACTTTTCTTGACTAAAGGAACCTATTTGGTCCTGGAAAGGCAGCCTTACTTTAAAAAATAATAGGAGATGTGGGATAAAAATGGTGTTTAGCTTTTGTTTAATTAATGATATTTAGATTTCATTTAATTAATATAAGTATACTAAGCATAGTTAATAAGGATATTTTCATATCTGTTGGTATTTCAGAAGATGATCGAGATTTGACTCTTCTGTAGGACTTTTAGGAATAGATGAAGAATATGATTTAACTGCTCCTCTGATTAGTTAAAGGGCACCAAGCAGACTGGTTCTATTACTCTGACTTCTTTAAACTTTTAAGTATTTTAATTGAGAACATAGTGGCTTAATGATGCTGGAGATGGTTTCTGCTCCAGCAGTTCGAGTCCTAACACTGCATGTCACGGTGAGCTCCCGTCACTCGCCTCAGTTTCTGCCTACCCAACAATTTGAAAGCATGTTCTATGCAAGTAAATAAAATAGGTACCATTTTGGGGGGGGGAGCTGGTGCTCTGTGCAGGCAGTCAGATTCATGCTCTCTGAACCTTCCTAGCTGCAGTGTTCATTTTCAAGGCAGCTCAGGTAGAGGGAGGGAGCCTTGGATGACCCTGCAGGAACAGCTGCTTGTCTTTCTTTTTGGCCAACTCGCCCTCTTGTGCTGCACCATGGGAAGTGCATGAGCATTTTCTACAACAGAGCTAGTACCTTGACAGCCAAACTATTACTATACAACTTCATTTTAGTCTCCTGGCTAATGTAACAACAAATAACAATTGGGAATATTAGCTTCTTAGAATTTAAAAGCCCAGGTAAATAAATAAATAAATAAATCAACCACATCCAGGTGTTTAAGGAGCAATATGCTCTTGCAGTCATTGGGCTTTTTTCTGTACATTTCAGCGTCAGCGTCTAATTCATTCTTCCAAAGGCCAGTTGATTCAGAATGGAAGACATGAGAATATTGAAAACGGGGCCATCCATGCTGACAACCAAGAAGAAGCAGTACACATTGCCCTGTCTCCATTTTCACCACCAGGTAAATATTCAAGGCACATTGTGGAATAAACAAGACAATTTCTTTAGGAAAAATCTGCCAAAGGATAAGGGCTGCAAAAAAGAAAGCCATTTTTTTTCCTGTTAGGCTTGGGAATTCTGAAGTCTACAAACCTGAAAGTTGACAAGTTTAAGAAACACTGTTTTAGAAGAAATCTGGACCTGACCTGTGGAATAATTTTTTGGGTCTTCTAGAATAGTGTTTCTAAACCCTCAGCAACATTAAGATGTATGGTCTTCAACTGCCAAAATTCATGTTTCTTCAGCTTGTTTTGAGCTAGTGTAACCTCCAGCTATAAAATGTTACGTAGCCCCCAAAAGTAAATTACTACAGTACAGTGGCAGAAAAAAAAGCAAACATTCTGTAGCACTTTAAGATTGAAAGTAATTGCTAGCAACATTCAAAATCCAATTGTAGTTTTGGCTGATGTTTGGTCCTTGATTGATACATAGCTTTGGCAAATTGCTCTGTTCATATCTGGCTCTTATTTCATTGAATTTTTCCCAATTTCCCAACCTCAAAGCAGGCAAAATTTCAATTTTTTTCTGTCTTGCTCTTTTCAGAAAGTAGTAGACTAAATTATGAATATAGTTGTGGTTTATACTGCTAGCATATTTTTATTAGATTTTCAGCATTTCATAAAAAGTGTCTTATTTTTTATCTTAGTTTTGATAATTTTTGTATCACTGACCACATTCAAGAACAGCTGTTAAACTTTAGGCTATAATAGAATATAGGTTTGGGAAAGAGGCTAGATAAGTGGCTGTTTTGATTTAATTTTCCTCTGCCAGAATGACATTTTAATTTGGTGGGAACATAAAGAATGGCAAAATTATCTGGAGGCTGCAGTCAAGATTTTGAGAGGCTGCTTGTGGCAAATGTCCCTCAATTCATGAGGGCAATTGGATATGAGAAACAAAGCTATTTTTGGGAATGTGCATTTCTCAAAGTTTGCAAGGCAATTATTGAAAAGCATATAGACTGCTTATAAAAATGGATACAATTCTAATATAAAGTAACTGATCTGATGATCTGATATTATATCATATACTAAATACTGACTAATGTACATATATACATACACACACACATAAACATACACTTCTGAGAAATTTACATTAGCGCAGTACTGTGGCTATGGATTAAGATTTACATTATTTACTGATCAGAGCATGATTGGAAAAGAGAAAAAGTGGGTTTGTGCTTTAGTTCTTCCTCTAATAAAGGGACTTTGTTTAAAGGTTTGTATGTAAATGCTCCATGTCTGTGAAAAGTAGAACTGAATCATCTGGATGCTACTGACTTTTATAAAATAATCATCCCCATCCCTAAATTGGGCATTTAAGAATCTGCAGGCTAACTAGTACAAGTTAATGTGGAGAAAATATTCATATGGAATTTTTGTAAATACTATTTCTTTTTCAGTGCTTGATTTGAACAATTTAGAAAGTACTAGGAATTTGAAGAGAATATGAGGACATTTCTTAGGACATTTTTGTTGATTATAAAGTGACTCCAGTCTGCTTTCTGGATAATTTTGGTCTATCTATTGATTTATAAAATGCTGCAATCTCAAGTTAGAAATGACAGCTTGGAATATTGATCATAGCTTGGTACTAAAGTTTCAGGGTATACCTAGGAATCTGTCTAGGAAAAGAAATAGTGGGTAACCCAGCTATATTTCTTATTCCTTGGCAGAAGCACATTGATGTTAGGAAAGGTCTAAATAGAACCACCAGCTTTTCTTTTACCAAAGCCATTGTGATCTTATATTTTCTGTATTTCCTTTTAGATCCAGTTTATGTCAATTTAGACAAATCCAAGTAAGGCAATGGCTATCTAGCCTGGAAACAGCACTCTGCTCATTTTATGGTCTCTTGTTGATCATTGCTGGGAGTGGGGTGGTAAATTAGAATTAATACGCTCTTAGCTAAGATTGCCCCAGTGTTTCTTTCCTGAAATGAGAACCATTTATTATTCATTTTCTATTATTTTAACTTTGTTGTTATGGGCTGTTTTTAGTGATAGAAAACATTCTGCTTCATTTTTTAAAATAAAATAAAATCTGGTTAACATAAATGTACAAGCTGGGGAAGAACTGAACAGCAGACTATACTGTAGAATTATAGTGGCTACAATTTATCTTTTTTTTTATTGAAAATTTTTATTTTTTCCATTTGAACATTATAAAAATACAATACAAATTTAAAATAAGATAAATTCATAACCATTGGTGCAACCCGCCCATTCCCCCCAGGCTGCGTCTACCCTTTCTTAAAACATTCCCTACTTCCCTCCTCTTTCTCTCCTCCCCTCCTACTCTTTCCCCCTCCCCCTCTCCTCTCAATACCCTACTTCCTCTCTACACCTTCTCTCCTCTCATCCCTATCAAACCCATGAACGCAGCATAAGGGGAGTGCCCGGGCCGCACTCCTATAAACAACCATTATCTATACTACACTTACCCCCCTCTTACCCTCCCTCCCACCCCCAAACCCCCTCTCTTCACTTCCCAGAGCAGAATACAGGGTTAATAATAACAAAATTTAATAATAAAAAAAAGAAAAGAAAAAAAAGACAAAAGAAAAGAAAAAAGAAAATATCATAATTAACCTTTAACTCCATAACCTATAAGACAATTCTCTATAATATTTGTTATAATATTCATTCATAAAATAAATGAAACTTTTTAATTCCATACTTTTTCTGAATATAATCTATCTATCTTCTCCATACAATGATATATCTTTCTTGTGTATGATCCTTTAAATAAGCAGAAATTTTTGCCATTTCTGCAAAACTAGATACTTTAAATGTCCATTCTTCTAAAGTAGGCAAAGAATCTTTCTTCCAGTATAAACCTACTAATAACCTTGCTGCAGTTACTAAATTCAACATCAAGATAGTTTCTTTTTCATTTAAATCAAGCTACAATTTATCTTGAAGAGGGCTTTTCTGTCCTCGGGTCAACCTTAACTTTCTTATCCTATTTGCCTTGTTGAAATGTTTCATGCCAATACTCTGGGACTCTTCCATTATTTGGAAAAAGCCTTTGCACATACCGGTACAATGTGTACATGTAGCAACCTCTGTTGGCAACTGACTGTGCATTGTGAAGAATGCAACAACTTTGCTTTGTGGAGCATTCTCAGAGCAATGCTATTCCCCGAGCAATGGCAAATTGAGGCATTTCTTGAAAAAGAGGACCTCAGTCTATGTATGGAGTTAACCAGTAGAAGATATATTTGTTCATTCATTAGATGGTTTTACTTTGCCTTGAAGAGCCTGCAAATTATAACAAAATCCTATCAATCCTACAATGAAAGTTTTGCCTTTGTTGCTGTTTATTTCCTAGTCTCATTTTAGAATACTTACTCGTTTTATTCTTTAACATCCTAAATACCCTTTAACATCCTAAAGAAGGTTTGCTTATTTAAAGGACTGCCTCTTCTGGCCAGATATTATGACCTTGATTGGCAAGCATCTTGGAAAAGTTTCTCTCTTCCTAGGACCATTAGTTGGGAAGAGGAATCCTTTTTCTATATCACTCCAAATTGTGGCATTCTTTTCCTTTGAAACTGCAACTGCGTTACAATTACAATTTTTTCTCTCTTTGTTTTTCCAAAACATTTATTTTTAGGTTCTTCCAAATATCTTCAGTATGGCTATTAAATGGCTTAAATACATAGTTTTTTAAAGGATCCGTGGGTGTTTTTGTTTGGTGCCTGCTTGTTAGGACTGAGAGTACCTTAAGTAGTTTTTCTGTAATAACGGTAGCAGCAGTAGTAGTAGTAGTAGTAATAATAATAATATGATAAAAATGCCAAATCCAATCTAAACATATGGTTGACTGTGTGACCAACCATATATTTTAATCATATTGTGTGACCAAACATAATAATTTAAGAATTGTGATTTAAGGAAAAAAGAGATGAAATCTATACTTTTCTGGATCTCAAAGCCCAAAGGGTTAAACAGTTTTTGTAAAGAAAACACATGATTCACAATAAATGTGGAAAATGGAGGGAAGACTGAGGTTGTGTATCTGGCTACTATATTTCTTCATATACAGATAGTCCTCAAATTACAACAGTTCATTAAGTGACTGTTCGAAGTTACACAGGTGACTTATGACCGTTTTTCACACTTACAACTGTTGCAGCATCCCCATAGTCATGTGATCAAAATTCAGTCGCTTGGCAACTGACTCATATTTATGATGTTATGGGGTCATGAGATCACTGTCAAGGTTCCGACTAATGAACCCAGCCAAATCAGAACTCCAAGGCTTGAAGCTTCCTCAAAGAACATGTTTATTGGATACATAATATCGGCATGATCCAAAGTAAAACCAACTCTAAAATTCCCACATGGATTTAATATAATTAAATGTAACACTCCCTACCCCCTACTAGGCCAATAATCACCGCTACTCAATGAGGACAATTGGTGGGCTCCGTGACACTCCTCTCCGACTTTCAGCACCTGTGGGATGACCTTGGTTCTCACGGGACCACTCCGTGTTTAGTCTAGCAATAGTTTCACTTTCCTTCCCCCTCCTCCCAACCTGTGTGGCAACTAAGAACGACAAAGATGGCTTCAGTCAGGTTTGTTTCAGAAGTTGACAATCACCTTTTATGGTCTTCTGACAAGCAAAGTCAATGGGGAAGCCAGATTCACTTAACAACCGTATTACTAATTTAACAACTGCAGTGATTCACTTGACAAGCATTTCAACAAAAGTCATAAAATGGGATAAAACTCACTTAACAAATGTCTCACTTAGCAAGAGAAATTTTGGGCTCAGTTGTCGTAAATCGAGGACTGCCTGTAATCCCAACCATCTTGGGAATGCTTTTCAAGATATTCTTGCTTCAAGTACTGCTGTCTGAGAAACAAGAGCAATGAATGTAGCACAATTCAGATATGCTGTCCCTCTCCCCAGGCAAACTCCACTAAATTGGGAATAGAATTTGGGTTCACTTTCTTCCTGTACCTTCCTCTCTGCTAAAATGCACAACTATAATATTGGCTTTATTTCCTTCTAATGTATTCTAGTACATAACAGCAATGTACATCGACAAACTGGTTCCCTTTTCTTTTCTTTTGCTCTTCAGAAGGAAAAATGGAAAAACTCAAATGGATCCTGACCTGGCCACTGATATTTCTCCTCTTTTTCACCATCCCAAACTGCAGCAAGCCACGCTGGGAAAAATTTTTCATGGTGACATTTCTCTTTTCCACATTATGGATTGCTTTGTTTTCCTACTTTATGGTGTGGATGGTGAGTGATTGCAAAGATATGGGGGGGGGGTGATTAAGATAACATTTTTTATGAAGTTAGGGAGAAAACAAAGGCAATAGTAATGAAGAACATTACTATTTAAATCTAATTGAAAGACAGCAAAGGAAATGTTTGATGTGTGCAATATCAGCATTCAAATAATTCTTTTATTTTAAAGGAACAATTGTGATACTTAAAACGTAACCTCCTCCTTTTTTTCTTTTTTTTTACTTTTTTCATCCTTTGTTCATTTTTCTAAAACACCTAGCAAATATTTATGTTACTGGAAAATGCCATATCTTGCCTTCCAGTTCACCTAGCCTTCTGGAGCCTGTTAAGACAGTGTGTTAATCAACTTGTAGTGTTGACCTGATTAGCTTCTTTTTCAATAACTAGGAAAAATAAATCTTGTGTCACAGTGCCACATTTGGGTTTCAGCCAAGGACAAGTGGAGATTCTTCTTTTCTCAGAGTTGGTGGTGTGATTATTCATTGGATTACCATTTGTCATTTCATCTAGTCTTAATCTCAATCTGGTGTCCTATGGGTATGCTAGATTTACAAATTCTAAAAAAGCCCAGACAGTTATTGCAGTGCAGAGAGTGGTGAGGATGGCAGAAAATATCATTGGCAGTTCCCTCCCTTCCATCCAGGACATAACATATAAGCATTGCTTGAGCAGGATCTGCAAGATTGTCTGGGACACTACACATCCTCTTCACAACCTGTTTTCCTTGTTACCTTCTGGGAGCAGGCTCCATAATATCCAAAGCAGAACATCCAGATTCAGTCACAGTTTTGTTCCATACAGTATTAACCTTGTGAACTCTAAAGCTTCCTCCTTCCACTATGTATTCAAGATGGACAGTGATTAATATTTATATGTTATTTATATGTAGGGGTATAGGTTTATATATGTGTTATATATAGAATGTTTAAATGTGTATTATCTATGTGTACACTTTTGAGAGCAAGGAACAAAATTTCATTTTTAATGTGTGCCAGTGTGCCCACAGTAAAAAAATGACAACAAAGGTTATCTATCTATCATGCTGTTAGGAATTCTTAGAATTAGAGTCCAGACATGGACCCATGGAGCACCCTATCAGGAAAGCTGTGTCATATTACTCACAATTAACACCAATTCATTGATCCTATTTTAATCCAAGAAACACAGGACAGCATACACAAGCATCTCTTGCTAATTTAATTCTCAAAGCAGTAAATCCCATGAGGTAAATTTGGATATAATATTGGGATTAATCTGATTAAGTCAACCCTGTGAACTTCATGACAAAGTGTGGACTTGAACTCAAATTTTACTAGTCTTGTACATTAATTATGCTTTCTTTAGGTTTCTGCTTCATACAGGAGAAAAAAAAATACTTGAAGATAAATAATTTGAAATTTTGAAGTTCCAGTGGAACCAGTTTAGACATAGCTAAGTAAAGATTGTGATCATGCAGAGTTTCTGCATTCCGAATATGCACATTCACTGGACAATGAAAAGGAAAAGTGAAACAGAAAAGAAAACCTCAGCTTTTTTCTCCTCAGTTTTTATTGATTTGATTTTAATGTTGCTTGATTCCAATTGACTCTGGGCAGTTCTCAAAATAAAGAACATAAAAACACCCTGTAAATATAAATGTAATAAAAATTAATGTAAAAAAAAAGAATCACATGACAATTACAAGATGGTAGTCTGGGCAACACGTCAATACATATACAAAACAGAAGCTGCAAAGCATTTTTACTGTGTCCTAGGATTGGCCTTCTGTAGTGTGGCATCTTCAAGATATTGGTCTAGAGTTGCTGTCACAGCTAGCAGGCATGACCTTTGCGAGTATAAGTTGAAATCCAACATGTATAAAAGATGTTAGATTTCAGAATCTGTTCTACATAGTTTATGGCTGCTAATTTGTTGTAGCATAGAAATTCTTGTGTTTATTAGCTTGGTTCATTTAACACCCACTTGCTCAAGCAGTTAAAGATGGTCTAAGAGTCAAGATGTTCTATTATTTTCATCAACTTGTTTTCCTTTGTTGCACAGGTCACAGTGATTGGTTACACTCTAGGGATTCCTGATGTTATCATGGGCATTACTTTCCTAGCTGCAGGAACTAGTGTACCAGACTGCATGGCCAGTTTAATAGTAGCAAGGCAAGGTAAGGCCTGCACTGGTTTCAGATAAATGCTGTGCTTGTTTTGTCTATGAAGATTCTCAGTCATCCAGGTCATGGTTGTCCCAAAGGTGCTTTTTCAGGAGGCAACTGGGCTTTCTTGTTTTTCTTTGACTGGATGGTGGGGAATGGAAGGATTTATACTCCTTGCAGGCAGCTGGTCATTTGCTTTCTTTTAGAGGGTCGTTGGGGTCATCTGAGTAGTGCAAATGTGTGTGGAACCTTCTGGCTGCACTTTGGGATGAACACTCACGAATGGTGCAGGAATATGAATGGATTTCCAGAAAACATTGCAGACTATAGGAACAGGGCAAAACATCCTGCAGCCAGAAAGTTCCACACCCATTTGCATTACTCAGGTGACCCTGAGGACACAAATAATCCTCCAGATCAGGGGTCTCCAACCCCTGGTCCGTGGACCGGTACCAGGCTGCGGCATGCCAGCAACCGGTCCGCACAAACAAGCAAAGCCCCATCCGTGGGATGCAGGCAGCACATAAAGCCACACCTACTCCGGTCCTTGGAAAAACCTCTCTCCACGGAACCAGTCGCTGGTGCCCAGAAAGTTGGGTGCCTCTGCTCCAGATGACCCCAAGGACCCTCTAAAACAGTGGTTCTCAACCTTTCTAATGCTGCGACCCCATAATACAGTTCCCCATGTTGTGGTGACCCCCAACCACTTATACATCACCAGGTGTCAGGGGCGTGGCCAAAGAAAATGGGGAAAAAATGGCGGACAGCCTTGTTTGGCGACCCCCGTGAAATGGTCGTTCGACCCCAAATGGGGTCCCGACCCACAGGTTGAGAACCACTGCTCTAAAATAATGCAGATGACCAGCTATTTGCAAGGAATATAAATCCTTCCATTCCCCACCATCTAGTCAGAGCTGAAAAAGCTTCTTGGATGAGAAGCGAAATGTCTTCAAACCGAAAAAAGAGTCCAGTTGCCTCCTGAAAAAGCACCTTTGGGACTGTGCTTGTTTTCCACATCATTAAGCAGAGCTCCTACATTATTGTTGTAGAGATGGGGCTGAGATTGTTAAGATCACATTCATTTCATTCAGGTTTCAACACAGGCTAATATCATTTGAATTGCCTAAATTAATATCTGAATCAGAATGCAGGTATCCTTCAGTTTTTGCAATTTTTCTTAATTTTGAATTACAGTCCTCTGATTAAAATGTGTGCAAAATTGATTAACAAAACCTGCATACAAATATGTGTGTGTTAAGAGACATTTGAGAGAAAATACTGTGTAGGAGGAAATTGCTTACAAACCACTGTATGGTTTTATACTTTGGAAATGCGTAAAATTGTCTTAGTGAAAGTGTGAGCCTAAACATTCATGCCATTTTTAAAATTACAAATTGATGTCTGTGGAGATTTTCAGTCATCCAGGTCATGGTTGTCTCAAAGATGTTTTTTCCAAAAGGCCACTGGACTTTCATTGTTTACCCTTGAAGAAATTTCGTTTCTCATCCAAGAAGTTTCTTCAGTTCTAAAATGAAGAAATTCAGAACTGAAAAAGCTTCTTGGAGGAGAAGCAAAATGTCTTCAAGGAAAAACAAAGAATATCCATTTGCCTTTTGAAAAAGACCTTTGTGGGTGATCCAGATGCAATGCTCCACAATTCCCATTATCCCATTCATTTTAGTCGAAAAGCACAACTAAATTATTTACAATTCTTGGACTGACTAAAAAATATCTCAAATATTCAGGAGAGAAATATATTGATACAGATATCCAAGAGAGGAAGGTGTTAGTATACCTTTTATAAGGGGGTACCAGCCTTCTCAATATTTTATTCTGTATCTATTATTTGTAATGCAAATTCACATGTAAAGTTTGAATCACAAACACCAATTTAAAACAGCACCCTCCTTTCTTTAAAAAAATTTTTTTTAAAAAAAATATTGCTTTAAACATACACATATGTAATATATAAACAAAGGGTGTTTTATTTCAATATTATTAATCTTGTGTTGATTCAATTGATTAAATCTCAGATATTTAAAAATATTTCAGTAAAAATAAACTGTGGGAGCTGTCGTCCAATAATCAGAAATCTCTGTTTTATGTTTCATGAAAATTTAATCCATTTATGGATTTGATTAATTTATCAATGCTGCAATCTCCAATTCACCATCAACTTGTTATTCCAGTCTCAAGAGTTAAAATAGACTAGATTTTATCCATTTTTTTCTTTAAATGCCTTTGTATTGGGGCTTTACCAATCAACAGCCAAATCTGAGATTTGTAAAAAAAAAAAAAATTCCCCACAGAAATTATTAGAATTCATTGGATCATTACATTGGAAGGGGTGTGTCATTTTGTGTAGGAATCCACACAGAATTCCATAATATTGGAAGAGCCCCCTTGTTCTCTGTGAGAATCTAAACCTCAGCATGCTAAATAGAACTAATTTTATTAAGCTACATTTTGAGATTCCAAATATAATGTGACCCTTTGAATGTCTCAGGATTATAACATACTTTTAAGCCCATTTATACCTAAACTTGCCCTTTCTCTCCCTCAATCAAAATAATTGGTTCTGTGAAGAATTATTGTAGGGATTCCTGGCCAATTTATGGCCTACACTCATTACCTCTAGATGAGGCCTCTTAGTAGAGGAGGAAAGCTTATTCTCCCTGTTTCTTGCTTGTTGTAAAATAAATCATTGTATGAATCAAAATGGTTTGAATTGTGAAATGTTTATTTTTCAGGATTAGGTGACATGGCAGTGTCCAATACAATTGGAAGCAATGTATTTGACATTCTTGTGGGGCTTGGAATACCATGGGGCTTACAGACTATGGTGGTTCATTATGGCTCATATGTATGTATCCAGATGTAAATAAAACTGTTCAAAGTTTTTGTCACAGAAAATATGATTGAAGAAAACAATTGTTTGGGTATGGTTTAGTTGAAATCAGTTTTCCCCAACTTGATTAGTTGTAGATGCATTGTGAGCTAGGACAAGAGGTCCCAGTCTTCTCAACTAGACTTTGGCCATAATGGTCAATTATGCTGGAAATTGAAATAAGACCATATTGGAATTGTGCCAATTGCAACATGGCCTTATTCAGAAAAGGTACCCTTAATATTGAGATTTTCAGGCAAATCTATAAGCAAAAATTTCATAAAACTATTTCTCCTCTTTCTCCTCCAAGCTTACAGGTGGCCCTGAAATAAAATGGCAGAACACCTCAGAAGCATGTATAGTACACATAGATCTCTGCAGTTTGTTTTAGATTTCTCAGGGGCCTCCAGAAGGAACCAATACTATCTCATGAAATCTCTTAATTGTTTCTTGTTATTTTGTTACTATATCTCTTAAGGCCTCCTCAACGGCCAGTAGGAATAGTTATAGTTATACAGTATACTAATTCTTTACCTTTGACTATCATTATCCTCTAGTGTTATTAAAGCATTATCATAACCAATGTGCTCCCTTCAAAAATGTTCAATTGTTTCCTTTGCATTTTGGATTCCTGACTGAATCTTCCCTCTGAAGTAAACCTATTTGAAGCTAGTATTTTGCAAAATTAAACCTCTGTTTCCTTCTGTAAGGAAAGGCAAACGTCTTTCGTAAGACATTGCCTGTTGAGTTCATTGGAAATGAAATCATGTGTATTGTTTTACAATCCCCCTTTATATAGAAACAGCAGTTTTCTAATGATTATATTCTTAAAATGTGACAAGTATTTTAAATCTATCTTTTCTGATTTTCATAGGTTAAGATAAACAGCAAAGGACTACTTTATTCTGTTGTGCTTCTCCTGGGTTCTGTAGCTCTTACTGTAAGTGAACTGATGAATTAATTTATTTCTGCATCCAGTCATATTAATACAACATATCAAGAGATGGGATTTTTTTTAAATAGTTAACTTATATTTGCTATGCAAAATGTACTACTATTATTTAGTCAACATAGCTATTTAATAGACTTTACAAATGAATTGTACTATATAAAATGGTCTATGGAGATTCTCAGTCATCCAGGTCTGACTGAAGAGCTGAAAAAGCTTCTTGGATGAGAACTGAAACGTCTTCAAAGAAAAACAAGAAAGTCCTGTTGCCTCTTAAAAAAGCATCTTTGGGACTACTATTTAAAAACTTACATTTGTAAAAATAATTTACAAAAATAGCTTTGATTGGAAAAATGAATTGCTTTAAAACTTGCAAAAATATGTGCATTAGAAAGCATGTATAAATAAAACCTTGGTTTAACAGTACATTCAGATGATGTGCTGTCTGTTGAACCTGAATTGATGTCCTCCTATCAATGTATGTTATTTGAGAAATTACTTAAGTGACATAAATGGGGCCAAAATTTCTGGATTTCCTGGATTTACCAGACAATGTTTAACAGTCACATCCTCGGGATCCAGGACCAAAGGTTTAGTCCTCCAAGCTTTCAGACTCATTCTGGAGCCACTCTCAGGGAACTTCTCTCTCACCAGAACATAGAAATGTTGGAAAGGACCTTGAAGGTCTTGTAGTCCCAACCCCTAGTTGAGCAGGAAATCTTATACCATTCCAAACTGGTTGTCCGATCTCTTTTTCATAATATGGCAATATTATGGCAATAAAAATTATTCATATTTAGAAGAATATTTAAGAGAATATTATTTTTTTATTCTATACAGTTCATCTAAGATTGATCCTCAGTTTAACAGACAATAAATGGGGCTATTGTATCTTCTAAACTGAGATCCAATATGTATATAAAGAAGAACCTGCAGAAACAGATAAAATGGGGAAAAGGATGGAATAAAATTAAAGTTTGAGGAATTAAAAAAATAGAGATGATCGAGTGAAGCTACGCAGATACTGGTATAATACAACAGTTGGAACTCTTAGTTTGTTCAGGTGGCTTAGTAATTTTTTATACTAACTCTTAATTGAAATCCATGAAGCGTCCCAGGAGACTTATTTCTTGATATTTGTACAACACTTAAAGCAACATGCTGGATTGTCACCTAATTAAAAAAAATCAGTTAAATATGTGAATCATAAAACACTCATTTCCTTTTATAGACTTTCTAATAACTCCTCCACAAACATTTTGTATTATAGGATTTAGAGTTTCTCCAGTTGTAAAGGTCATGGAAATTAGTTTCCTTGTATGATTTTTGAAGTTCTCATTTAAAGTGGTTTTTTTAGCCTATAGCATATATATTGCCTTCAATATTAAATAATTCATTCCCCATGTTTTTACAGGTTGGCGGGATCCACTTAAATAAATGGAAACTTGATAAGAAATTGGGCATCTATGTGCTCACGCTCTATGCCATTTTCTTGTGTTTCTCAGTACTGATAGAGTTTAATGTCTTCACTTTTGTCAACTTCCCAATGTGCCGACAAGATGACTGAGAAGTAAAGCCAATACATGCCATTTGGATCTATTTTGCTATAAATGTCAGGAGACATTTTTACACTTCAACTCCAAAACTCAATGTCTCCCCTGCTTCATTAATCTAGAAGCAATTTACCTGGGAGGAAAGAACATATTTCTTTGACAACACACAAGCTCAAGTCTACTAAAGCTTTGTCACCTGTTCCTCCTCCTCCTCTTTCTTCTTCAGGTACCCTCATTCAGCTGTACTTCATGCAGCTTTGTATGAGATTTTAAAGGATGGTTTCAGTTTCCGCTCTGGTTCGAGCATCATCAATCTCAAACTGACATCAAGTCTGCCATGGAAACACATTTTCCATTTGATGGCAGATGGGTCTTCAAAGAAGAGGAAAAGAGAGTAGATTCAAGATTCTACTTTGGCTCATTTCAAAGATCTCAGCTATGAGCTTGTCATGTACTTACATGCATATATGCATGAACAACCTTGGTTTTCCTTCTTTAAATGCTCTATTTATACAGACGTTTCAACGATGCTGATGAGATCATCTTCAATAGTAACTTATCATCTTTTTAAAATGTTTTTGAAAGCTAGAACAATTTTACTAAGAAAAAGATGGAAAATGATAATATAGTACTATGATCATTTAATTCTAAAAATCATGGAACTTAAAATTTGGCAAACTGGATAAATATCTGTGCTTGAAAAAGATCATTTTTTTCTACAGTCAATGAAGAACAGTGGATAATATCTAGAATACATATGGAATATTAAGTTGACAAGTTAGAAAATTGCACCAGCACCAGTAAGTGCATACTCTAATCTTAGAGGAAAATGGAAAACCTTGGGCACTTAATAATTGATTGTGATGGTAATGATCTAAGGAGAAAGTGTATAATTGAGATGCCTTCCGACTCTTCATAAATGAACTATGAATTTGGAGGTATATCTATCTATCTATCTATCTATCTATCTATCTATCTATCTATCTATCTATCTATCTATCTATCTATCTATCTGCTTGCGTGCACACATGTGCACACACACCAAACAATAATTGTACAATCCCCAGTTTTATCTTTTTTTTAAATCAGAAAGGTGGATTGCATGAAAACTGGCTGGCAGAATATGGAAAAAAGTCTGCTAGTTTTTGGAAACCTAGTATCTGCATGTACATTGAGATAATTATAGAACGTGGTTCAATGTGCACAGATGTTCTACTGAGGTGTGTGAATAAGATATGATTCAATGCAAATGCTTCAATTATTTCAGAAGATATATTTGATTCAGACACCTAAATCAATTCAAATAGAACCTCCAATTGGAATGGACTCTATTAGGACCAATTCAGGCCTTAAAGTGCATCTGCACATGTGAAGAAAATACCCAATTAATGTGAATTGATTTAGATGTATTTTATTTATGCTCCTTCAATTCACTGAGTTAATCTGATGCTTTGAATCAGTATGGATTGATTCTCAAAGCACTGAGTATTTGCACAGGTCATTTCCCTCATAACTTACTTGAATCCCCTTTTGGTCAAAAGCTCAGTCTTTCATCAAGCCTTGACAATCTCGAGTCAGCTGATCCTGGGAACTCTTGCGTATTTCACTATTTTTCCAGTAAAATGTTTGAGACAAAACTAATCTGAAAATTTTCACTTTAAGAAATCTCCAACCGCATGGAAAGAAACAAAAAATCAGAATATCTACAAGAATGTAATAACAATCATTGCTATTACGTTGTCAATATCTCTGAGTTAACTTCTTAGTTTGCTAGAGCCATAATCTGTTTTTTTTCCCCCATATCACTAGTGAATATCACAAATAAAATATATTTGGGGATTTATGAATATAATGGAAAGGAAAATTCAGTCTGTAAAATATAAATTTCAGAAGATTTGAGATAGGATAAATCCCATTTCTCTTTCTATATTCCTCTTGGAAAAACCTGACACAAGGACATGAACTTTCCCAAGATTTACCCACTGCCTCAATTTGTAAGTTTCATGAGAAATACCAAAAGTTGAAATGGAAACCACAGACATGTCTTATTGTTAATTCTAAGATTCCATTTTATTCATCACAAACATTACCACTTTTCAAACGTTATTAAAATGCTGAAGAATGCAGAGATTTCTAGAAGCACAGGTTACCTTTGTACATAATTTATTTTTTTTTAATCTTCTTTGCTACATAAAATATAATGAATGGCTGAAAAATTTGAATTTAAACCATATTAAATATATTTTTGCATGCATAACAAAGAGCAGAGCATTGCACTTATGTCAGAACAGTTTTTCACAAGGAATTTAAAAATGTGTATAATCACTTACAGTTTATTGAGTATGGGACATAGTCCCGTAGATTAACAATATCTCTATTCACAAATCATGCTGTTCCCAGTATGAATCCCTAAGCATTCAACTCAAGCTGCTACAGTTTAATATTTCTCCCAGAGCTCAAATTTTATTTTATCCCATGCTGCCTAATTCACACACTAACCAATATTTTATTATTTAAATCACAAACAATTGGATTCATACAACAAATTAGACAGTCGTAAACAAAGGAAATTCCAGGTGGTTGAATTTACACTAAGCCAAAAACCATACAAATTCACATAACAATATAAGGTAATGAAGCCAAGCTCAATGTGATCTCAATATCATGAGTTCACAGTAATTACAGGAATACTTCTTGAAAAAAAGGGAGAATGTGAAAGAGAAAAAAAAGCTTGCCTTTAAATGCCTTGCTCTCTGATAAAATGCAGATAAATTTAGTAATAGGCATCAAAGAGAATGTTATATAATCCTTAGTCTCTTGTCTGATGCATAAATGAGCCATGAGATTCGATTCATTTAATCACAAACAGAAGAATTCTCAAGGGAACCCAATCTTAGGGTTATTTCACACGAGATGTCTTTGCTACAGTAGCAAAAAAAAGCCAGTCTTCCATAAGGTGGAATTATGAAGAGCACATTTATATATGCATAGCTTCAGCCTATGACAATATTTCTTTATACCTGGCTATCACAGTCACATGGTTAGGGGTATTCCTAACAATGTGTGAAATTGCTCAACATTTAGTTGCAAAATGGTGAGATGTTTTATAATCAAATTTGTGTATGTATATCTGAAGCAGACCAGAGGCTGCGTTACATATCTGTACAAGTATTGGGAGAGAGGTTCAAGGGCATTTTTTTTGGCACTCATACCTTTTGATTTATTTATTCCCATACTTCTATAGATGTTATGCATTCAAATTGCCCAGAATCATATGATATTAAAAATGTTGTGTAAATATGATTATTTTGCAAAAGAAATGCTGTTAATTGATATAAAACATTCACCATTCATTCCAAATAGAATTTTATGCAAAGGGAAAAATTCTGAATCTTCTTTTACTCTCTGTAATTAATATCAGTATTGATAGGGATAGTAACTGAAACCCACAAATCAGCTTTAGTATAGCAACAGGTGTCTGAAGAATTTTCTTCTTCCTAAGATTGGCACAAGCAAGGCAGAAATGAACATACTTTGCCTAGAAAAATAACAGGCAAGGATTTTTTCCCCCTAGGAGCCAGTAAATGGCCACTTACATCAGGTTTAAGAATGGATACAATCCTGTCTGATACAAAGTAAGCAACTCTGTAAATATAATTCCTATAATTCCTAGGAAAAGCATTGCTGAGCATTTTTCATTGTCAGCATATCTTACACAAGGGGACAACAGTCTTCCTGAACAGAATGTATAAGCATTTGAATAGTTATACTGCGCTGTATCTGAGGTCATAGGTGAGACTACAATACCTCTGTCTTTTTCTTTGATTGGATAAATTATTATAAACACTGTAATGCCCCAAATATTCCTTATTTGCAAAATTGAGGTTTTGCACACTAGCATTAGAGGAAACTTCTAAACAATATTTAACCTTGAGTAATTCACTTTCTGTTTCATATTTTTTTGTGAAAGCCATAACAAGACTGAATAGTGAAAACATGTTATACAAAAAGATGTGTAATATTCTTGTGCAGTTCCTTCATCATATTAGAAAATGAAAGATGTGGGTTTTTTGCCTGCTTCTTTCCTTGGATTTCATAAGCCTAATAATACCCTAGCAAGCTACAAATTCTAGGCATAAATCTTATCTAGTGGTGGCAAAATGACACAGAAATCTTTGCACTTTAAGAAATCTTAGTTTACAGAGTTGGAAGGGATCTTGGAGGTCTTCTAGTCCAATCCGCTGCTCAAGCAGGAGACATTATATCATTTCAGACAAATGGCTGTCCAATCTTTCCTTAAAAGCCTCCAGTGATGAAGCACCCACAACTTCTGACGGCAAGCCATTCCACTGGTTAATTGTTCTCACCGTCAGAAAATTTCTCCTTAGTTCTAGTTTGGATTACAAAACTTTATTGCCCACAGATGTTGATTTGTACCTGGTCTGTTATATTGCTGATTCCTTTTAGAGTTTAGACACATAGCAATACAGTTAGCTTGATCTTATATAATTATATTTGTCATGTCTTTAAATATAAAACCATTGAGGTGAGTAATGCTCACCTGTCTGCTTGGCACATAGTATCTTGAACTAAGGTATATTCAAGAGACAGCCTCTGCTTCAAGAACTCCAGCAACTGAGAGCTCACCAACCTTCTAAATAATTGATTCAGTTGCCAAACTACTTTCATTCTCATTAGTCCCCTCAATACATTTTATTCCTCCTTCACATCTGCATACGATTTGCCAAGTTGAAAAGATATACAACAGTGAAGAAAAGTACATATGGTAATTTTCTTCTTTAGTTCTCAGAATAAATTATGTGATTACAAACAATCCATACGATTAAGACCATTGTGAGCTTTTGGAAATGCCAAGTATAGCCATATTTTTCAAATAGTTTGTCAAGAATTTCCAAGTCGGTCTCAAATTCTTGCTTTGCATTTTTTATGCAATTAGTGATCTAAAAATGAAATATAATACATACTGACTTTTTTTCCTGTCAACACAATGTAATACCAAAACTTTTGCTGCACTTTCTCTCACAAACCATAAAGAACTTGTTTTACTTGCAATAAAGACAAACTCGTCAATGGATGAACTTATTACAGAAAGCTCACTGTTCAATGAAACCATATTCATTTCACCATATTGTTAATTAAATTATGGCCCTATTACTCTAAATATTCAATAGCACAGAATTCAGATATTTTTATTCCTCTCATCCTTGACAGTTTTCTAAGAAAACAGATATCCTGTTGTTATTGTCTCCAGTACGTGGAATGTTGTTTAGTTTTTTTCCCCTTTCTCTAATTTCCTTTCAGAAATGTATATCCTTCCATATCAGTTTCAAGGCAGTTATTAGAATAGATACATTAAGAAGTAATTTCAACAGAATCAAAATGGGACAAAATAAAAATCTGTGCATTAAGGAAGGGAAATTGTCTCTCAAGCCACTTCAATTCTCTCTTTAAAAAAACCTTCACCTAACAGTATGTTTCCTCCCTCAGCTATCTTAAAATAATCAGCAAAGCAAAATGCTTTGTGCTGTTATTTTATGTTGAAAATTGCTGCTAGAGGCCTGACTCTAATCTTTCATTTGGAAATTGTCCTCAAATTCTAAGAACATCAAACTTGGACAAGTACTGCAAGACCAAACTTTGCTTTTATGGTGGTGTTTCTTTTCCTGACTTGTGATGATCTGCCTTCTGATCCTGGATTGCAAGTCAGCTTGTAAGAGAGTTGGTCCACTTATCATTTGATCAGTTTTTCTACTTATTTATCGTTTGGTGTCATACCAAGTTTCTTTTTATATTATTTCTAATATTCATGATAACATCCAAGCAACAACTTTCTCAATTTTATTTATGATTTGAGTTCTGCTTTGCTTTGCTTCTTGAAGAAGCATTCATAGTGGCTAATAAAAATAAAATATAATGTAAAGCTTGTTCAGTGGCTTTTAAAACACAAAATTATGAAAAGATTTCCATTTATATATTTTTAAAAATCATTTTGATACTGGCTGTGCTTCAGAAAGCTGTATTTATTTTACTAAAATCCACCCATTGGGAATATTACAATTGGCACTTGTCTTTATTGCTTCTTTTTAATGTTCAGTTACTTGTCATGTTTGATCAAAATGAAGATATTAGATTTCTGTAGACCTTTGGATTAGTATTTAATTATAAATACTGTCTTAAGTGTTTATATTAATGCAAGAAATACTTTTAAGCAGAAGATGAATGTTTGTACCCATGTGAACCAAAGACCCTATTAAAATTACAGCACCTTAAAATTTAAATTGTACAGGGCTTCCTTTTGCTCCTTCATTTCCAAGCGATCTCAAACTGTGTGATTGCCATATTTAAAGGTGGTAGAATTTGTGCAGCCTGAACTTTAGTAAAATAGTGGATTGCATACAGGCACACTGTAAATCAGGTTAGGGCTAGGCTCTCATAATCCACAGAGTTAGCTGTTTTGAATTCAATTGTTTTAGCTGGTTTAAATTTAAATCTAGATAATAACTCAACATATAAAAGCTAAGTAGTTTCAGCTTTGATGTTTGTGCCATTTAACTTCAACAGAGCAAAACAAAAGGAAACAAGATCTAAACTACTGATCTAGAAAAATCTAGCAAGAAAATAATATATGCAGCTCAGTTGTCTTAAAAATGCCATGTTTGGGTAGTTGCATGTAATCTCTAAACCTCTAAACAGCAGAGATTAATTTCATGCTATCAGAGAATCCTTAATATATTAACAAATCCAGCAATGAATCTCAACCCATTTTCAGATATTTGGAATTGGGAGGCAGAAGGATGGCTGATGGGAGAAGGGGGTTGTAGGGTGTGAGAAGGGCCCTAATATGTTGTGAACAAAGAATGTTAAATAAAGTAATAAATCTTAAACTTAATTTGAAAAATCATGAGCTGTCTTAGTAAACTTATTCTATACTGAGAAAAATATTATATTCTCTGCATTTTTAATAGCTGCCTGCCAAGCGCAGGCACTAAGAAAGACCCCCTTTAAGGCATTTTATGTATAAATAAATATTCTGTCCCAGTACGAGCCTTAAGGTTGAACTTGATAGCGAGCCCAATTTCCGACATCAGAAAAGAAGAAGGGGAATTATTTACATATATTCTCATCTAATCAAAACCCTTTCTGCAAACCTGAAAGGAAATTGTGGATAACCTGTAATTCTAAGATCACCATTGTTAGAAGAATAATTCTAACACCTTCTTGAGAATTTCTGACTAGAAGGGCACCCTAATTTTCCCGCAGCTGCACATTAGATGGAAAGTAGACTGGTAATAGAGAACCAACAATTCTCAGGGAAGTTTGCACTATGTATTTTTTCCAATATTTTAATTTGCTCTTCTGAAACTTACATCAAATAAACTTCTGAAGAATCCTTGCTTTTGTGGAAGATTGTTTAAAAACCACAGCCCAAGAACAAAGATGTCATGGGACTGAAGGTTTTCATCAAAAGGACAAAAGCAGCATTGCACCGTAGGGACACAAAGGACCAGTCTTTTCATAAGTGTGTGTAGCTTTCCAACATATGTGGAAGAAGGGCAGAGCTTGGGTGACAACCAGACCACACTGCTTTTGTCATTTGCCTCCAGCCCCAAGCACCAATAAATGGAAGCAAGGCCTTTGTGGTTTAAGTATATTAACAATGCAGATGATTCTTCTTTGTGCTGTACATTGTCTTTGTGATGCATGGCATATTCCTTCCTCCCCTGGCCGTCTTGAAATTCAGAGCACTTTAAGCAAACAAACAATAGTCATTGCTGTCCCTGGGGAGAGACTTAATTTTCCCCAAAAGACTATTGCCCTCTTAAATTCTGTCAAATTCTTGACCGTTAGTAGCCTAAAATTGTGGTGAAATTTAAAAATGTTAGTAGAGCCATATCCTCCAAAGAAAACCAGGGCCTTTTAGGGAATGAATTGCTGCTATTATTGTTATTTACAGCAGGAATATAATTTGTATTTATCAACTATGTGTGTAAAATTTTAAAAACAATAGGCTTCTTCCTAGAATTTTGCTAAAATTCTCCATAAAAGTCTCTCTTTGTTGGGGGAGAGAAATCGGAGACTTTCACGAGCACAGAATGATTCCAGATTCAGAGAGGTTTTATTTTATTTATTTATCAAATCTGGATCCCACCCATCTCACTGTCAAGTGAGCATTTGTAGCCTGTTCATCCCAGTCTTGGTGATGACGGGCCTACTTCTCCAGAAAAATGGTAAGACACTGTTTATAGTGCTGCTGGGAGAATAGAAAGGATAACTTGGTAAAACTAAATTACAGAGTTCTAATTATTATTTATTTTTTCAATGACTGTGACCTTATGCACTGTGAATGCTTTTGTGATATGGGGTTCTTTGTACAGATCTATATGTCATATTGAAAAACTGAAATGTGATAATTTATTAGACAATATTGGCATGAATATTGATTATTTTTATTGCGAGAAGAAGGGACAGAACCAAGTAGTTACTGTAAACAGAAGATTTATATTTAAAATAATAAACCTAGCAGTCAGTATTGCCAGGAGAAAGAAAAAGAGATACATATATACTTATGTACACCGTTAATAAAATGTATAGAAACAACAGAAAAGTGGTGTTAATTTTTTTTGAAAAGTATACTCAGATGTTTAGAAGAAAAACACGTTATTGTTTAGTGTTGTCCCATATTCAGAAGCAATCTGCATCATTAATTTTTTCACAAGCTGACATTATTTTGAGGAGAACATTTTCATCACAAACTACATCATCATCATCATCATCATAGCTAGGAATTATCAGAACTATAGTCTACTTCTTCTAAATGGCCTTAGGCTGGAAAAGGTCAAGGTAATCATGAGATCAAATCCAAGGGAAATCTTTATACTGTAGACAGGACCAATCTTAACTCTTGCTAATTACTTCGGTAAAGTCAAGGCTGCTTTAAGGAATCAGAGGATGCAATGCAGCACCAGAATTAAAAGAGTCCACACTAGATTAGTACTGTCCACATTAGATTAACACTGTAAATGAATGCCTGTAAAACGAGATCTTAAAGTTATGAGATAGTTATTCAGAAGTTACACAATCTGAATTAAAAAAATGAACGCTGTAAAATTTGCCTTGCAATACAATGCTGCTTTGGAGAATGACCACCTTGGTCTGATTTATCTGTGCTAGCCTGTGAATATATCTTCCTGATATATCCTCTTGATCGTGTCAATCCATGAGAGCTGCATTGAATAAAGGGTAGCCCTGCCAGTCAAAAACCCCACCTTTGTCAGCTTTGCCTCTGAGTTTGGAAGAAAATCACTGATCTCCACACACAGAAGTCCTAGTTCAGCTTCTCAGCTGGATTTGGCAAAGATCTATGACCCAGCTGGATTAAGATCTTTATGGCAGAGGAGAATGAATCCTCACTGATGACCCATTACAGTACAAATATATCAGAGGGCTTTACACAAACACATACACACAAAACTTGAAACACAGAGCATCTTCCACTCACCATTCTGAACTAATGAATTCTTGATAGACAACTGAGCCTGGCAGAGATTTGGGAGGCAGCAGCATGAAGACAGATTGGTCCTGGCTACATGCCTCTGTCCATTCTTAACTACTAGTTGCTTCTCTTTACCTTCCAAGATAAAGCTTCTCTGGGGAGAAGTGAAATGGGAGAACCTGCTCTTTGTCAAAACCAAAGGAAGCTGAAATTAAAAGAAAGGAAAACCAGGTGAATATTAGAAGGAATTCCATGATGGCAAGACCTCTGTTATGCTGAAGAAGATGCTCACCAATAACATTTTTTAAAAAAATGATCATTGTATTAAGCTGCAAACAAACTAATATATAGTTTAACAAAATTTGCTGAATAGACCACAGGTCGGCAACCTGCGGCTCCGGAGCCGCATGCGGCTCTTTGAGCCTTCCCCTGTGGCTCCCAGCCTCCTCTGCCTTTGCAGAAAGAGACAGAGAGAGGCAATTGCGCTTCCCTGCTTCTCTCTCTCTCTCTCTCTCTGTGTGTGTGTGTGTGTGTGTTTTGTGTGTGTGTGTGTGTGTGTATATATATGTGTAAAAGAGAGTGCACTCACATTGTTCTCCGAGGAGCTGAAAAGCTTACTGGGCAGAGCTCCTCCCTTTGCTGCGTCTCTGCAGGAAGCAGGAAGGGCAGGAGAGAGCTAGCTAGCCCAGCTAGGCTGACTCAGGAATTCTGGGAGTTGAAGTCCATGAGTCATAAAAGAGACGAGGTTGCCTACCCCTGAGATTGTTGGAGAACAACTTGAAGCTTGCCAGGTGAGCAGCAGATGGGGGGGGGAGAAAGAGAGAGAGAGAAAGAGAGAGAGAGGGAGGGGGAGAGAGAGAGGAAAGAGAGAGAAAGAAAGAGAGTGGGGGAAGAGGAGTGGCAGACCAAGGGCAGAGAGGGAGGGAGGGAGAGAGACAGAGAGAGACCCTTTTGACATCTAAAATGAAGATAACACTGCATATATCCTTTTTTTTACCTATGTGTGTATGTAATTTTATTCTCTTAAAGCATTCTCTCGGTGATCATTGTTTTAATAGTATGGATATTCCCAAGAGTCATATTTTTACTTTTATTTTTAATGTGTGTGTGTGTGTGTGTGTGTGTGTGTGTGTACACACACACACATACACAAACACACACACTCTCTCTCTCTCTCTCTCTCACACACACACACACACACTTATAATAAAGATAAAAAAGGATATATGCAGTGTTATCTTCATTTTAGATATCAAAAGGGTTTTGCGGCTCCCGGTGTTTTGTTTTTGGTGAGAAACGGGTTCAAGTGGCTCTTTGAGTGTTTTGGGTTGCCTACCCCTGGAATAGACCATCAAATTGTTTTTCCTCAATATTTCTTGGGACTTTGAATTAAAATCTGAGAGTCTCTGGGTGGGTACTGTATAGAACCAGGTGGCCTCATTAAAGTGCATTCCTTCAATCTTTACTCTGACAAAATAGTTATGCTGGTATAAATTTGCTGCTCTAACTGGGGGGTAAATTGAGTAGACAAAAGGTTGCCTCTGCCCCACTGCAATAACAAAGAAATGCAATGGATATGTGAAACACTCACACACACAATGGTATAAGCATTGGAAAAACCTATAACACCCCCCTCCCCCAATAGTAATGGAAGCAATTAATGGAAGTAATTAATAGCTGGCAAAATCTGGTTCTCTTTCCTGGTATAAATTGGTTCTTTACATTAGTGCTCGCTCAAGAAGACGTTAATCCTGGTTTTAAACAGGGCCAGCAACCCAACTAAGAAAGTGCCAGCCTAAAACAGGCAACAGATCTGCCCCTAACTGCAATGGTAACCACAATGATGAATGACATTGAATCCAAGGCCAAAATTGTGTCACAAGAAGAGGGGAACTTTTCTCTGGACAACTGAAAAAAGGAACAGATAGAAATGAGTAATCATCCTCAGCTGGAGATGAGATGAAGGATTGCCGAACTTGTCTCACTATACAAAATGTATTGAAAGAACTGGAAAAACTGCCTTGGTCAGGTATATTACAAAATTTGTCTTGCAAGTGTTAACACTGAAAGGCAGGAGACTTGGCTTGCCATTCAGGGAGATATGGGTCTCTACATTTGGTTCAACTGTGCTCTGAATCATTTAGCAGAAGATTAAACTATGAGCATGTGTGTCCTTGTGAGCCTTCCAGAATGAGGACGCTGTTACAGGATACAATGAGTGGGCCACGGGGAAAGACGTGGCATGATCTGTGGTTTATTTTATTCACTTGCATGTTTTCAGGTTGTCCTTGACCATATCTGTTCTTGGCTGACCTATTCTTAGATAGCGTGGAAGATGTTAAGTGCAAATGTATTTGTGCAGCAAGGAATGGAGAGATAGATTTATGGCATTTATTGTGTTGATCCTCCTGAACTGATAGCCATTCACAGTCTGCATAATTTTCTCAACTGCAAGTGTGTCCTGTCTTAGGCAGTTCTCCCCAAAGTAACCCATTTGACTGGTTTAATTATTGTTTGTAAAGTCCTGTTGGGATCATGAAGTAAGTTTTTTCCTCTGGAATATTCATATCAGATTGTGATTCTGTTAATACAGCATGCTAAATCTTGGTTATACTGGTTTTCTGAATTCACAAAGCACACACTTGAGTTTAATCAGTACACTCCGCAATAAACTAAAAGTTGATTGAGTTCAGGGATCCAGTGAAACACAAACTAACAAACCACATTTTAGCCTTAGCATGCTCTATGAATCTAATCAAGATGGGGGAAATAGACGGAGATACTGAAGAACAAGAGAGAGAAAAGTTTTTTTTTTTACATTTTACGTTTTGTGGAAGAGACGGCTATAACAACGTGATGGTGATGGGAATCAAATTATCAAGTGAAAGGAAGTCTAGAGTTACTTCTTCACAGAGCTTTTTCATTGTCACAGTCTTATCGTTTTATTTGTGTGATCCTCCATCTTTTCTAATTCAATTTATTTCCAGTATAGTTGCAGGATATTTTAAATTGCACTAAAGCAGACATGTCAAACACAAGGCCTGGGGGCCGGATGTGGCCCGCAACGTGGTTTCATGTGGCCTACAAAGCCAACCTGGAAACAGTGAGGGACTGGGCCCCACTGCCTTGGCCCTGGCCCAGGCTGGTCGGGAGACAATGTACAATTTTGTGGTGACCATCTGTGCTGAAACACATTCAGTCTTAGCTCCACAAGGCCGTCTAGAAACAGCGAGGAACCAGACCCTGCTGCGTCACCCCCGCCCCCGGGTGCATGTTGGGGAAGTGTCACCCTTTGTGAGAATGAAGAAATGGACCATGCCTTGGTGCTTGCCCTGGTCCCACCCCCTTCTGCCAGAGACCCTCAAATCTGTCCCACTCCTGCCCAGGCCCCCACAATCACCCTTGATGTGAACAATGTAGAGCTGGCCACACCCACTCCATCCACGCCTACCCAGTAGGCTGCACCCACCCTGGCCACACCCACCCACCCCCCTGAGGGCAACCTCAATGTTGATGTGGCCCTCAGTGAAATTGAGTTTGACACCCCTGCACTAAAGGATATCTTTCTGTTTGAAATCCTGAAACTCCAGATAGCTTAGGGGTGGGGTAAGGTGCTGATTTATTGGTGGGAATTCTTGCCTCATCCCATCTTCCAAACAGGGTTCTTCGTGCCATCAATGGTAAATTGTTGACTTTGGCTAATGAAAAATCTCATTTGAGTAGAATTTAAGGCTCTTATAAAAAGTAATTAGTAAGATTCATCATAGAGCCTGTATTTCTAATAATGAGGAATTTTGCTCTTATTATTCCATAGTTGTTTAGGCCAAGGACCTGCTGCTTAATCTCTAGGAAGACTTTCTCAGCCTTTGACATCATCAAAAATTGAATTGATAAGCCACAATAATTCAAGTCTGAGAATAATTCTTGGAATTATCAACAAAGATTATATTGGGCCAAAGAACCATCTCAAGAGACCAACTTTATCCAATACTTTAGTTGGCAGGATCTCATACAAGCCTTTATGGAAGCAAGGCTGGGGCTAAATTACAACTAAAGAAGAGCACCAGGCCCACAGTGAGAATCCGATAGCATAATGCATAAGACTATATTGTTTTCCCTTTTGTGGGAGTTGGGGAATGAAATATTGGGACTGGCTGTGATTCAGGATGGGAACAAGTGAATGCTGTTCTTTGCTCTTTTCTACTGCTTCACTGAATAATGTTTCAAGGTTAGTGGTCAGGAAGATGATCACACGACTTCAAAAAGCTTTATAGGGATGGGGAGGGGCAAGTGCCTTTGGCACATGAGAGTGGCTCATTCTTCTCTGTCATCCAGGTTGTGTAATGCTTTCAGAACAATGATCATACATTCCAAAGAAAAATGTTAGTTGGCTGCAGATCAGGACTTTTGCTAATGAGATACTAGTTCATCATGTAATAGCAAGCCCAGGATATTTTGATGCACCCTCATTGGAAAAATGGTGTCCCAACATTAAGTACTCGATTCTCACAGGCCTTAAGTAAACAACATGAAGGCTTCCAGACTCCATCTGGTTCCAGTTACACCCTTGCATACACGACTCAGGAATTTGCAGATGGACACTGCTCTGCTGTACAAAACCCTAGTCAGAGCCTCTCCTCCATAATGTACCTGCAAAACAGATGAACTCATGGATTCCTCTGACTTAAAAGAAAAAAGCAGGTACAGAGTTGGTGACTAATCATCACAGGCCTTTTGCCTTTAACCATCAGAGTTAAAGTTCATGACTAAAAATGGGCCTGTTTTAAAAAAAAGTAGAGGAAAGAAAACAAATCACCCTTGACCACCAAGGACTGCCTCTTCCTGACGGCCCCTGTTCACATAAATACAGGAAGTAGAAAAGAAAAGATCATGCTCTTTTCAGAGCGTTTAGGAGTCAATCGAAACAGCGCTGAGGAAAAGCGGTGAGGAATTCATCATCTGGAATTCTTCTTTTTTAATGGGGGGGGGGTCGGTCCAGAAGCGTGAAAGTTTTGATGGAAATGCCAAGGTATAACTTTCTCTACAAAGAAAACTGAGAAGGATTCTGAAAGGAGAAGTTTCAGATTCTAGCTGGAATGATGAAAACATCGATGGGAAACGAGGGAAGCGGGTGAGTCCTGAAACTTTAATAACGGTACTTTTTTTCCCCAAAGGAAAGGTGCTTCTCTCTCCCCTCCCTTCTCAGCCTCCGGCAGCCTGTTGGAGAATTTGTATCTCTTGAATGATCGCTGGCTGGTTTTACGTAGAGGCGCCAGAAGTGCAGGCTCCAAGATAACATTCACAGCCTTTTCTTCAGCGAGTGCCGATTTAAAACAACTGCAGTGGGGGGAGGGAGGGTGTGTGGAGAATTACAATGGAGAGGAAATGAAGGCGAAGGGATGTGAGAGAGTTATTTTTATACCCTCATGGTTGATGTTTGGAATTAAAGCAAAACGTACTTATGAATCCAGAGGGGGGAAAACTGGCTTTATTTTTCCCATCATTTCACCAGAAGTGGCTGAAAAATGACAAAATTTGCAAAGGTTAGGGATGACACTTTTGTCTGTAGCCTGGTGCCCATCTGTAACTTTAGCCCAACCTCTGTTTGTGATCCAAATGAAATTTTCCCATTATTTTGGCCCCATGCTGTTAGAAAAAATTTTCTGCATCCTCAGCTGCTATTATTTGGACCAAATAAAGAGACATTACTAAAAATATGTTCTATATAGCTTACCACTGAATATGCAGACCTTAAGACTGTGGACAAACACCACATGTCCCATTGTTGTGGTCCAGGATGAAGACAGATAAAGCTGTGGCAAAATTTTGACTTTGGAAACAAATGCTTTTGATTTTATTTATACCCTGCCCAGAATTGCTCTGTGAAGTTTCTAAATTTGACATATATAAATTAATGCATGGTTCCACTTAATGTGGTAAGCTTTGGAGAAACCAGGGATGTTAAGTGTTCAGAGGGATTCAGTTTAAATGGGGAAATGATGGTTATAATCACAAGGTTATCCGCTAACTCTAATAAAGTCACTAATCACCAGCATGTCTTTTACAACTGTTTTTAAATGTTTATGAGAGTCTTTTTAGTAAGCTGAATGTATATACAAATAAATAAAACAGGATGGGTGAAACAAAGAGTTTGTGTAATGTATGCATACTTTTTAGCACTAGCTGGAAAACTCAATTCAATTAAAAATAAAGAATATAGTATGATGGTTCTAAAATTCACCTATAACATTTGTCTCCCGTGCTGTTTGGGGTTAGTGTATTAATACTGATTGCTATTTGGAGGAAGAAGTTCAAGGAGTTGATTCAGCTTTTGGATTGTTGTTTTTTCAGGGAGATTATCCAACTGGTATATATGTTCCTTGTAATTTAACTTGGTTTATGTGCTTATTAGAAGGATATCCCCAGCAGAAAGGACTTTCCTATAATATTAACCGTAAAACAAAGGGCATTTAGTCTAAATATTAAAAAGAACTTCCCGATAGTAATAGTCATTAGGATCAATCAGTTATGGATTTATTCTCTGTAGGTTTTTGAACAGAAACTAGATAGCCATTCTAGTAATGAATTGGACTTAGTTGCAGATTTCTTTCGATCCATAACTTTCTGTGAGTCTATGAAACTCTAGTTTTGGCAAACCATTAGTACTAGAAGCTACTGTCTGCGTTGGAGATACTTCATACTTGGACACATTTAGGACATGGAGAGCATATTGTTGGCAGTCATGACTGGGTGGGCTTCACAAAGTTTTGTCAATGCTGGGCATGGCCAGTCACAAAACAGATGCCAACCTCCAAGGACGCCCCTTAACATTGAATGCATACCTTCTTTTTCTTGGGTTCATTTGGAAACAAAGCACATCTTTATTTCCTATTAATGCCTGAACTATCTTTCAGTTTGCCATTCATTTTTTAATTAAAAGATTGTTTTGAAAGATGAAGATCATTGGCATCAGAAAGTCTAACAGATGCCAAGTGAAAAGCTAGTGGAGGTATTGTTGCTTATGAGCACTATATTGCCTGTTCCTTCTCTACCTGTCTATTCAAAGAGAGAAATCCTTAGATTTCAACACCTTAGAATAACAATACCTTAGAAAAATAGCCTAACAAAATTAGCTCAGGCAGAATTGCGTTACACATTTTCTCCCTACATTGCTTTATGCACCATCTAGTTAATTGTTAGCATCCTTACTAGCAAATGCAATTTTTCTTATTGCTGGGCAAATATATTATGTAGCAGCTTCTGAAAAGAAGGGAGGACTTGCTGGTAGAAGACCTGAGCTGCAAGTGAGTAGATCACAATCTCCCTTGAATTTAGAAGGCAGATTTTCCAACTTCACAGAGATGCATTTACAATGAATTGGAATGTAAGATCCACATAGCAACTTGGATTCTATAAAATAATGAAGTCCACAAACAGTTCAAGAAACTTTAGCTTTGGTGAGCAAAACTGGACTGATAAAGAGAGAAAAAAAATACAAGAACAAAATAAATCCCAAATGTTCTGGCAGAGTCATCATCTCAAAATTCTTTAATAGTTAAAGCCATAATATTGTATGCAGGTTATGTGAAGCTCATGAATTTAGATTAGACTGTAGAATGACTTCAGTGAAGTAAAATACAATTTATTTATATAAATGATTTGCAAGGAAGGACAGGATGCCCAGCAATTTTAGTTTTCTTTATATGGAAGAACTACATATGGAAATGGAGAACTTTTGATCTCTATGCTTAATTTAATCAATGCATCTGACAGTGAAATTCAAATGTAATCTTATTTTCTAATACAGTAAAAACAATCCTGAGAAGATGACATCACTATTTATAAGCTCAGTGCACTTTGTAGAAAAAGCATAGCATACCAGCCCCTACAAATATACATTTTACACACCCTTGAATGCTATTTCCTATACAAATATGTTCAGACAGCACAAAAAAATGCATGAGAGGCAGACCTGAACTGACAGAGAAAGATTGGAAGCACATGCATATTTGAAATATTTCAATGGCTGTTCTCAGTTACATCTGGCAATTCAATCTTTATAATAAGCAGAGTTAGGAAGATACAATTTTATAGGGAGTGCGCAAAATGATATAGCTGTCAAGATGAAATTGCAATGCCTGCCTGCCTGCCTGCCTGCCTGCCTATCTATCTATCTATCTATCTATCTATCTATCTATCTATCTATCTATCTATCATGGAGCTGGCTGAGAGACTTTGCGGGAGCCTGGCCAGAAAGAGGGAAGTGGAAGCTCAGACAGCTGCGGGCAGTTTGGGCATGGTGGGCGTGGATCGGGGAGGGGGGGGAGAAGAAGAGGAAAAGGAGAAAGGGGGTGGTGTGGTTGTTGCTGTAGTCGGGGAGAGACCAGGGGAAGGGGAATTGCCATAGAGAGACCTGGGACTATGAGCATCGACAGAAGGAAAGAAGAGGCTGGTCGTTGTAGTTTCGGAGACCAATGGCCATCCAAACTTTGCTTACTATCACCGGTGTGAATGTGGACACTTTGGGGAGCTGCCTCTGCAGAGCGAGCTGTGGCTGTGGAGCATCGACCGCCCTCGTTTGTGTTCCCCATTGCTGCCTGGAGCTGGAGGATTTCCCCACCCCTTTTGCATCCCAAACGGCTATTATAAACTACTGACTATTATTCCCATGACTGCCTGAGGTTGCTAAGTACTGTCATGCACCGACTGTTGTGGTTGGGGCAGGTCATCTTTGTTCCTGTGAATCCCTTGAGAAGAACCTGTCATCTCTCCACTCTGCATGAGCTCTGGTTAAAAGGACATTGTTGCCAATGTTTGAGGGCGCAGCTGTGAGCGAGACTGAAGGGGGAGGGCTAGGAGGGCCTGGGCTTTGGAGGCCCTTGAGGAGGTAATGCTACATATCTATCTATCTATCTATCTATCTATCTATCTATCTATCTATCTATCTATCTATCTATATCTAATCTATTATCATACAATTATTTATAAGCTAATTATATGCATTATGTTATGATATATATTATGTATATAATTGTTTTTCTACTTTGTAGAGAATTAGCCTACCAATGTAAATGACTCAAATCATGCTGCCCTTTTTGTTACAACAAAAGAATAATATTTAGGCTATATGCAGCATTTTCTAAGCAGATCTCCCCCCACCCCAAATAGGTCCTCACTGGGAATTGCTGCTTAATAAGTATGTTTTATCAACTGCTATATACATTGCAATCGGGTGGCAAGGTTCAGCCCATATGAACCTTTTGTTCTATCATCATGACATCTGACTCAGAAGCACACCACCTATTCCCCAGCCAGTCTTTCTGAAGAGAGTTTAACTTAGTATTCATTTTTTTTCCAGACTGCCTTTATGATATTTTTTCTCCACTCTGCCTTTGTGAAGGTCGGTGTCTATGTTCCATTGTGAGATTGTATTCCATTGTGGGGTTATAGCTCTCTCGCTCTGTTTGGAAATACAGCTGTACTCCACTAAGGGTCTCCACAAGGGGAAAAAAAAGATGGTACTCATGGCAATCCTACCCCTTATTGTGCTGCTTTGACCCTTTTGGCTCTCCTCCCGCCCCATGCCTCTCTGCTCTGCAGTTTTATCTTCTCTGAGTAAAACAGGATGAGGGAGAGAGAAGGAAATAAGAAGCAAACAAGACCATGCACAGCATAATTAGAGCCAACAGAGTTGCTGCTAACTATGCATAATTATGTTTTAATTTTAATTTTTGCTTCTGAACACATTTGCATGTTTTTAGGAAATTATTAGCTAAGCACCAATCCTGCCAAGATTTGGTCAATGATTGAGTAAAAGATTAGGTAATCTTATCGTGTGCCAACTTCAGAGTAGCCTTAGAGTACACTAGCCTTCCACAACCCTGCAGTGGCCATCCAGATGTGTAGATTGCAGCTCTCTGGAAGGCTTCAGTTGGGGAATATGTCAAGTATGCAGTATGTTGATCAACAGATGAATATTAATTTAAGTATTATCTATGAACTATTTTGCACTGACTGCTGGTCACAAAGAATTACTTTGGCAGCAAACACAGGAATATATTTAGAACTGGTATATCTATCCTACTGGTTTCTTTTTGCTCATTCATATTAGTTTTCCAAATCTGATCATAA